GTGTGGTGTACAGCAGCGGTTCCCAACAGGGGGGTCGCAGTTCTCAACGCGGTCTCAGCGAGCCTTATGGGGGGCCGCGTCATATTTTTAAAAATTCTTAGAAGTTGACAATAGTATTACTGAAATGAATATACAAACTAAATAAATATATATTTTTCAAAAATAAATCAAGAATCACAAACAATGAATGAACAGTACAGAAAATCCTGTGTTGATGGAGCAGAAGAAGCTGTAGAGCAGGGGTCACCAATCTCGGTCCTGGAGGGCCGGTGTCCCTGCAAGGTTTAGTTCCAACTTGCCTCAACGCACCTGCCTGGATGTTTCAAGTATACCTAGTAAGACCTTGATTAGCTTGTTCAGGTGTGTTTGATTAGGGTTGGAACAAAAATCTGCAGGACACCGGCCCTCCAGGAATAAGTTTGGTGACCACTGCTGTAGAGACTGTCCAGCAGCTGCAGCAGGCTTTACTCACACTCTAAAAAACGTTGAGTTATTTATTGAACCCAATGTTTGAGTTAAACATATTTGGTGCTTTGTTGGGTTATTTCAAACCTTTATAATGTAAATTTTTAATAATTCAACCAGAGTTAAATATTTGGTGCTTTGTTGGGTTATTTTAAACCTTTATAATGTAAATTTTTAATAATTCAACCAGTTGGGTTAAATATTTGGTGGTTTGTTGGGTTATTTTTAACTTTTATTTGATTATTTAATGACTCAACCAGTTGGGTTAAAAATTTGAATTTCAACAGTCAACTGATTTAACGGACACAAATAGCTGTATTAATATGTGTGCGTAATGTTGTGTTTGTGTTATAAACTTTATTTAAGCTATAACACAATAATATTGTTAGTTTTTATCAAATTACCTCTCCATGTTGTGTTTTTATACCCATTTCACCATCCAAGACCATCTTTTAGAAGCGTTTGGATGTGGTTAAACTGTTGTGAACACTGAGTGAAGCCTGCTGCAGCTGCTGGACAGCCTCCACAGCCGCAACCCAACACAATTTAGTTCATCAACCTTTATACATATAATTTTTATTTAAATAAATAAACTTCAGCAAAATATAAGAAGTATAAAGATATTTCTTTATAGCGATGGGCAAGACTTTTAAGGGGCTGAAAGTTGATACTAAATGTAAAATCTTTTTTGGTGTTTAAACAACAAACTGATTTTATGTTTAACACCAACACTTAATTACCACAACAAGCATCATAGGAGCAGAATATGGAGCTCTGTGTGCTGTAGAGACTGTCCAGCAGCTGCAGCATGCTTCACTCACACTCTAAAAAACTTTTGAGTTATTTATTTAACCTGGTTGAGTTAAACATATTTTGTGCTTTGTTGGGCTATTTTTAACATTTATTATGTAATTTATTAATTATTCAACCAGAGTTAAATATTTGGTGGTTTGTTGGGTTATTTTTAACCTTTATTTGATTATTTAATGACTCAACCAGTTGGGTTAAAAATTTGAATTTCAACAGTCAACTGATTTAACGGACACAAACGGCTGTATTAATATGTGTGCGTAATGTTGTGTTTGTGTTATAAACTTTATTTAAGCTATAACACAATAATATTGTTAATTTTTTATTAAATTACCTCTCCGTGTCGTGTTTTTATACCCATTTCACCATCCAAGACCATCTTTTAGAAGCGTTTGGATGTGCTTAAACTGTACATTGTGGACACTGAGTGAAGCCTGCTGCAGCTGCTGGACAGCCTCCACAGCCGCTACCCAACACAATTTAGTTCATTAACCTTTATACATATATTTTTTATTTAAATAAATAAACTTTAGCAAAATATAAGAAGTATAAAGATATTTCCTTATAGCGATGAGCAAGACTTTTGGGGGGCTGAAAGTTGATACTAAAATCTTTTTTGGTGTTTAAACAACAAACTGATTTTATGTTTAACACCAACACTTAATTACCACAACAAGCATCATAGGAGCAGAATATGGATCTCTGTGTGCTGTAGAGACTGTCCAGCAGGCTTCACTCACACTCTAAAAAATGCTGGGTTATTTATTTAACCCAATGGTTGAGTTAAACATATTTGGTGCTTTGTTGGGTTATTTTTAACATTTATTATGTAATTTATTAATAATTCAACCAGAGTTAAATATTTGGTGCTTTGTTGGGTTATTTTTAACCTTTATAATGTAAATTTTTAATAATTCAACCAGTTGGGTTGAATATTTGGTGCTTTGTTGGGTTATTTTTAACCTTTATAATGTAAATTTTTAATAATTCAACCAGTTGAGTTAAATATTTGGTGGTTTGTTGGGTTATTTTTAACCTTTATAATGTACATTTTTAATAATTCAACCAGTTGGGTTAAATATTTGGTGGTTTGTTGGGTTATTTTTAACCTTTATTTGATTATTTAATGACTCAACCAGTTGGGTTAAAAATTTGAATTTCAACAGTCAACTGATTTAACGGACACAAACGGCTGTATTAATATGTGTGCGTAATGTTGTGTTTGTGTTATAAACTTTATTTAAGCCATAACACAATAATCAGGCCCGGATTGGCTAATCGGGAGGACCGGGAGAATTCCCGGTGGGCCGGTCCGTTTTTTGGCCGCGAGGGCCGGTGTCCCTAGCTGCAGAATCTGTTGCTCTCAGCAGTCACACTTTTCAAATTTATTTATTTACTTGACCACAGCCTTTTTATTCATTATTTTACCGCAACTCTTCTCTTTTCATCTATTTTAATGATTATAAAACTCAGGTGTGTCTCCTTTCTGAATGCAGCTATTGTGGTCCAGCGGTTAGCTCGTTAGGGTAAGATGCTGCAGACCCGGGTTCGATCCTCGTTAGAGTAACTTATTGTTTTCATTTTTATTGTTAAGACATATAGTACTGTTAGGGTTGTTGAACATTTGAAGTTCTAAAGCAGCTGTTTTCTCAAAAAAAGACGGGATAGTGTCATTAGAAACTGAATTGGAAATGACCTTATTTTAATATAGTCAGTTGTGAACTGAGGTGGGCCGGTCTGAGGCTTGAAACTCCAGGGCTGAAAAGGTGTCCCACTCCGGCCCTGACAATAATATTGTTATTTTTTATCAAATTACCTCTACGTGTTGTGTTTTTATACCCATTTCACCGTCCAAGACCATCTTTTAGAAGCGTTTGGATGTGGTTAAACTGTACATTGTGGACACTGAGTGAAGCCTGCTGCAGCTGCTGGACAGCCTTTATACAGCCGCAACCCAACACAATTTAGTTCAGCAACTTTTATACATATAATTTTTATTTAAATAAATAAACTTCAGCAAAATATAAGAAGTATAAAGATATTTCTTTATAGCGATGAGCAAGACTTTTAAGCGGCTGAAAGTTGATACTAAAATCTTTTTTGGTGTTTAAACAACAAACTGATTTTATGTTTAACACCAACACTTAATTACCACAACAAGCATCATAGGAGCAGAATATGGAGCTCTGTGTGCTGTAGAGACTGTCCAGCAGCTGCAGCAGGCTTCACTCACACTCTAAAAAACTTTTGAGTTATTTATTTAACCTGGTTGAGTTAAACATATTTTGTGCTTTGTTGGGTTATTTTTAACATTTATAATGTAATTTATTAATAATTCAACCAGTTGAGGTAAATATTTGGTGGTTTGTTGGGTTATTTTTAACATTTATAATGTAATTTATTAATAGTTCAACCAGTTGAGGTAAATATTTGGTGGTTTGTTGGGTTATTTTTAACATTTATAATGTAATTTATTAATAATTCAACCAGTTGAGGTAAATATTTGGTGGTTTGTTGGGTTATTTTTAACATTTATAATGTAATTTATTAATAATTCAACCAGTTGAGGTAAATATTTGGTGGTTTGTTGGGTTATTTTTAACATTTATAATGTAATTTATTAATAATTCCACCAGTTGAGGTAAATATTTGGTGGTTTGTTGGGTTATTTTTAACATTTATAATGTAATTTATTAATAATTCAACCAGTTGGGTTAAATATTTGGTGGTTTGTTGGGTTATTTTAACCTTTATTTGATTATTTAATGACTCAACCAGTTGGGTTAAAAATTTGAATTTCAACAGTCAACTGATTTAACGGACACAAACGGCTGTATTAATATGTGTGCGTAATGTTGTGTTTGTGTTATAAACTTTATTTAAGCTATAACACAATTATCAAATTACCTTTCCATGTTGTGTTTTTATATCCATTTCACCATCCAAGACCATCTTTTAGAAGCGTTTGGATGTAGTTACTGTATCGTACATTGTGGACACTGAGTGAAGCCTGCTGCAGCTGCTGGACAGGCATTACAGCACACAGACCATATTCTGCTCCATCAACACAGGATTTCCGCTTGCACAGTTTATACCTGTCTGCACTTTGTTCTGTTTCTTCATTGTTTGTGATTCTTGATTTATTTGACCAAAACTGTATGGAACTAAAATGTAATGGAAAAAAAGTTGTACATTGTATGTTATTGATTTACACAGTCATAATTATAAGATTAATAGCAGTACTAGTAATAGTAGCAATAGTAATATCAGAATGGAAAAAATACATTTATTCAAAATAACTCAATGCATTGAGTTAAAATAACCCATAGTTGGGAAGGTGCTATAATAACCAATAGTTGGGTTATATGTTGGGGTATTTTTGACCCAACTATTTTAACAAAGCAGAGTCCACAGTTTAACCACATTTTTCATCAACATTTTTTAGTGTATTATATATAGCCTACAATAAAACACGCATAAAATGGCACACATCTAATTTAAAGAGAACCAGACAGTAGTTATTTCTACAGTAGCTGACTCTGTGGCAACTATTAAATGTGCTAAACATGAATGTATATTAAATATTTATATAAAGCTCATGAGCTCCGCAGCTGCATGCGCGTGCGTGAGAGCGTGCGTGCAGAAACGCGCGTGCCAAACAAGAAATAAACAACGAGCCAATCTGAATCGATTTAAAATCAATTTACGTCACATTTAATACAAACAACCATCAATACCAGCACTTGCTATAAAAGCAACCTCGGATGTCATTTTGACCCCTCACAAACACGACTCCGCGTGACGTTCCCGCAATGTTTTGATTCTGCTGAGCGTGACGTCACAGCGCACTACACTAAAATGGTTCCTACTTTAGTTTTCAGCACAAGCAATCAAAGTGTGCGCAACTTCGCGCGTGAAAAATGCCCGAAATAACGCGCTAAAGGGGGAAACAAACACGGACAACTCGGACATGGAGGCGTGCGCAGAATCCGGACGCAAACTGGTGTGTAGTTGAAGCTGTCCGCGCAAACACTCGCTTTAAATCGAGATGCATTGTGTTTAGTGGCCTGAATAGGGGCGACTCGCTGCAACACGACATTATATATAGCGATTGATGCTGCGATCATAGCTTATATTCAATTAACAGTCGTAATGGTAAACGTTAAAGGACATATGCTTCTTAATATTACCAAAAAGGAGCCTGCAGATGCTCCGTTTGCAGACGCAGAACACATTGTCCAAGTATGAACCTCGTGTCTTCATATTCATCGGGAAGTTGAACGCGATTGCGCTGATTTTGACGTGTTATTATTATTGTTATTAAATATATCTGACGGTCACAGATGAAGGCCCACATACGGGAAAATACATCTGTACATTTCCTGGCCAAAATGTATTTTAAATATATGTTGTATCTAACTATATGTGTTGTTTTGAAACTGAAATTTCATTATTTCAAATATATATTTGGAGTGAAGAAAATATTTGTGTGGAGATTAAAGTATCTATTATTTAAAATGTATTTGAAGTAAGTAATAACAACAATAACAGCCTATTAGATGTGCATCTTATGTCTCATTAAAACAGTTTAAATGCAAACGATAAATCACAAATCTTATTTCTTAAAGTTATTATTTTCTATTAAATGCTATGCAATGTTATATTTGTGCATTAGTATATTAAGTAATGAAGCCAAATCTGGAGCTAATCTAACAATATAACTTAGAACGGTTCAAAAATGAGTAGCCCAAATTAATGTGAAAATATTAAATAAAAATAAAAAAGAGGAAAATTAAATTAATTAAAGCTATATGTATATATATATATATATATATATATATATATATATATATATATATATATATATATATATATATATATATATTCAGATTGAATGTAGCAGTTTTCGCTAGATTTAAATGTATTATATTTTTATTTCTAAAGATGTTTGGTGACTGAATTTATTTATCAAATAAATCTATTTAATAAATCTGTTTTGCTAAAATTTACCAAAATGTATTGCTTTGAATATTGATGAATTTAAATTGAACAACTCTACATAATGCAACATCTCTTTCATGTACAGTAACACAAAGGCAAATGGATAAAAATATTCATTTTTAAAATGGGATGTACTCTATGCTGAGCACTCTGTGTGTGTGTGTGTGTATATATATATATATATATATATATATATATATATATATATATATATATATATATATATATATATATATATATATATATATATATATATATTAATAAGTTCATTGGTAGATGTGTAAATAAAGATTTACCTAATGTTATATGTGAATGTATTTTCTTGGATTAAAATCTATGGAAATGATAAAGGCGACATTTATTAAATGTAAAGAAAATTTGTTAAATTCTTTTTTTATTCAATATTTATTTATTACTTATTGTATGTAGTTTCAAATGAAATTATTACTTCAGTCATTGCTTTTATTTTAATTACCATTAATAATAATAATAATAATTAACATTAGTGATTTCTGAAGGATCATGTGACTGATGAAAACTGGAGTAATGAAGCTGAAAATAATCTTTAAAATCACTGGAATCAATTATTAAATTATAAACTATTTCTGAACAGTTATTTTATATTGCAATAACATTTCACAATTTTACAAATTGTACTGTATTTTTGACTAAATAAATGCAACCTTGTTGAGCAGGAGAAGCTTATTTTAAAACATTTAAAAATCCTACTGACTCCAAATCCTTACTGTGTGTGTATATATATATATATATATATATATATATATATATATATATATATATGTGTGTGTTTGTGTGTGTGTGTGTGTATACAGTTGAATTGAGTCAGAATTATTAGCCCCTCTTTGAATTTTGTTTTCTTTTTTAAATTTTTCCTAAATGATAATTAAAAGAGCAATGAAATTTTCACAGTATGTCTGATCATGTTTTTTCTTCTGGAGAAAGTCTTATTTGTTTTATTTCGGCTAGAATAAAAGCAGTTATTAATTTTTTAAACACCATTTTAGGGACAAAATTATTAGCCCCGTTAAGCTAATTTTTTGATAGTCTACAGAACAAACCATCATTATAAAATAGCTTGCCTAATTACCCTAACTTGCCTGGTTAACCTAATTAACCTAGTAAAGCCTTTAAATGTCACTTTAAGCTGTATAGAAGTGCCTTGAAAAATATCTAGTCAAATATTATTTACTGTCATCATGACAAAGATAAAATAAATCAGTTAATAGAGATGAGTTATTAAAACTATTATGATTAGAAATGTGTTGAAAAGAAATCTTCTCTCTGTAAATAGTCAAATATATATTTGACTGTATGGGCTTGCAAGTGGTGTTTATGTGAATAGCTCTGTCTCCATATTCAATATATGGACCATATTATCGCACAACACATGGACGTGACCTCAATCATCTTTGTTGATGTTTTAAATATCTAAAAAAAAAAGGTAATGTTTCGCACTCATTTGCTTCGTACTGTTTTTATTTTCTTACATTTTACGGGTGATTAAAAGAGACAGACGTTTCGGCACAAAGACCTTCCTCAGTTCCTCACACTGTGCTGAAACATCTGTGTCTTTTAATCACCCGTAATATGTAAGAAAATAAAAACAGTACGAAGCAAATGAGTGTGAATCATTACCTTTTTTTTTTGAATAATAGCATTAAGATTTTTTTAGTTCCTAAAAAAAAAACGCAAGCGCGCAGGGCAAACTTCAGTAACTCTACACGTTATATATATATATATCTCCCATAAAAAACAATTCTAGTAACATTTGAGCTGATTGTGCAACATCTCTATCTCTATTGGATGTGTCAGTGTCAGTATGGTTAATAAAACACTGTAGTATTTCCTATAAATGACTATAGTTTATTCCAGCCTGATCTCACGAGAAAACGTAAGTATTTTACGTTTTGCCAGTTTAGTGGCTAATTCGTACAAATTCGTACGAGTTCAGTCGTACGAAATGGTACGATTTTAAAAAGGAGGCGTGGCACCTGACCCCACCCCTAACCCCAACCGTCATTGGGGGATGAGCAAATCGTACTAAATTGTACGAATTAGATCGTACGAATTCATACGAATTAGCCACTAAATGAAAAAGTTACGAATTGCCGTGAGATTGTGTTGTTTATTCTCATGTTGGTGACTAATGAAATAGATCTGCAAGCAGATATCACAGCCTCTGTTACTCTTTACCTTGTACTCTTTTGTTAATATTTGTTCTTATTTATTTAGGATATGCGATTTCACATTCTGACTTCAATGCCTGATTATGAAACTGTTAAAATGACTATAATTAAATAAAAATACTCTTAAGAAGATATATGATGTGCTCTTTGGAAGAGTGTACTTGCGTCGTGATGATATTTTATTGACATTCTGGCATTTATAATGATGAGTGGCATAAAATGACAATAATATCGTTTATCGCTGTATGTTTTGCTGCAGCATATCGTACAACAGAAAATAGATGTCATGACAGGCCTATGTGTGACTGTTTTGCGCTTTCTAACGTTTTGTTTGTTGGTCGTGTGACGTGTGTCCAGCGCTCGATCTGCCGGAGGATGTACGATGAGAATGAGGATCTGTCAGATGTGGAGGAGATCACCAATGTCAGGGGCTTCAGTCTGGAGGACAAACTGGACAGCGCTTCATACAACAGCCAGCTAGTGCAGTTCATGGAGGGGAAAGGTGTGTGTTCTTACTTTAAGTAAATGTTCTGACGTTTTGATCCTTCTGCTGGCATCTAGCTGCAAATATGAGTTGTGTTTATAAGTGTACCGTGATATTAAAGAGATAATCAGTTCATTTAACTAGTCAATGTAATTGTTTTGAGCCATTTCTTTCTTTTATTATTATTATTATTATGATTATGATTATGTTTGGATTAAATGGGTTGATGGGGTATATGCCGAAGCATGCTAATAGGACTTTTAATTTGCCAGTAACCTGGGTTAAGCACTTCCGGCAAATTGAATGCCAATGCAAAATCCGGTGTGTTTAAGGTCTGTTTTCTTTAAAAATCAGCGATCTCCAGTAGCTGAGTGACATCCGATTTAAAGTGGGTCTCAGATTGTACGAGAAGCACTGCATTAAATTACATTTCCCCCGCCATATCCTTATAAAATGAGCATTTGTTTTACCCCAGTATATTCAATGGAGCTTCTGCGTTAGCCTGCCGATTCTGACGGGCGCGTGCGAGTAAACAGCTTTTTGTCTCGTTTTACGCTTGAGCAACTAAATAAATGCTAAAGTTTATTTAACCGAATGTATTTTAATGACATTACAACATCGATGCTGTATAAGGAACCGTAAAAATGGAAAAAAGTTCACAATAACAGGTCACCGGAAGTGTATCAGCATGGGAACAGCACTAGCTCGGCATATACCCTATTGGATGATATGATTACTATTATTATTATTAAGTTTACATTTGATAATTATTGTATTCAGGTTTGAGTATTGGCTTTGTATACAATTAATGTCGGAGTATTTGCTTTATTGTTTTTGATTTTGTGAATGAAGACTTTTATTTTGTCGAAATTGGGATTTAAGGGAGCCAGGTAGTAGGTGTGTGACGGCTGCTACTGAGGAGCAATGGAGCTATTTCACTGATTTGATGGTATAAGATGTGATCAAATAAAGATGTGAAAAGGATTCACAGCGGATTTGCGCGTCATTGTTTACCCTTACTGTAATAGCGGCTTAAAGCAAAAATATTGCTACAGTAATAAAGCATTTATTAATCATTGGTGATGTTAATTTCTTCATTGATGCCTAATAACAAATTTAAAAAATCATAATCATTTTATTAAGTGGAGTTAATAACTAATGAATTCAATTAAGTGTGTATTTTTTTAAATTATTTTATTTAGAGAAGAGGAAAAAAACAAAAACAAAACAAAAAAACAGAACAAAAGTGGTTGTCAGAAGAGTTACAGAATCAAGTCATGATATGTTTGACATACATTATCACAAATTGTTTACAATGACATATTCAGACCATTTTTTCCTGTACTTTTTTAAGTCCAATCTTAGATTAAAAGTGAGTCTCTCCATACAGTGTATTTCCTTTACAATTCCTATCCATTGAGCCCTTGTTGGAGGGTCAGCCTGTAACCATTTTCGAGTTATGGCTTTTCTGCTACTTACCAAAAGGATTTGAATTAGGTACTTGTCAATAAGTTTGTATTTTTTTAATTATAATTTTGTTTACATTTTTTTTTAAAAATAAATTTTCAAATATATTCATTCACAAACTCTATAACCTTGACCAAGAACAAAACATAGCTGTCAATTACTTCAGTCTAAAATTACTTAGAATTTGGAGAAACATAGCAATGATAATAATAATAATAATAATGGGCATCACAGTGGCTCAGTGGTTAGCACTGTTGCTTCACAGTAAGAAGGTCGCTGGTTTGAGCCTCGGCTGGGTCAGTTGGCGTTTCTGTGTGGAGTTTGCATGTTCTCCCTGCGTTTGCATGGGTTTCCTCCGGTTGCTCCGGTTTCCCCCACAGTCCAAAGACAAGCGTAGTGTGTGTGTGTATATGAATGTGTATGGGTGTTTCCCAGTAAGGGGTTGCAGCTGGAAGGGCATCCACTGTGTAAAACATATGCTGGATAAGTTGGCGGTTCATTTCGCTGTGGCGACCCCAGATTAATAAAGGGACTAAGCCAGAATGAATGAAGGAATGATAATAAAATATATATGTGTAAGGCATTACTTTAATATGGTCAACATAATCAATAATAGACTGCCATATTTTAAAGAGTTTTTTTTTAGCCAGTCCTCCTAAAGACGATCTAATTTTTTTCAATGTAAAGACGAGACATCATCTCTTTGGTCCACTTATTAAAGGAGATGGACCGGGGGGGATTCTTTTATTCGAGTAGAATTGCTCTGCGCGTTAATAAAAGGGAGAAGACAAGAATCTTACATTTTGATGCAGTAAACATGAGTCTTCTGGGGTGATTCCAAATAATGCTACAAGTGGTTCCTGCTATAATCTATACTGAAGCACAACAGAAAGGGTAACAAATCTCCAAAAGTTTTCTAATTTAGGAAAAATCCAAAACGTATGCATTAAAGAATCCTTCCGTGTCCTGGCATCTGTTTACAACTATAATTTGTCTTTTGCTCACTGTTGATTTTAATGTATAAATAACATTTTTAAGGGCGAGGCAGTGGCGCAGTAGGTAGTGCTGTCACCTCACAGCAAGAAGGTCGAATCTCGGCTCAGTTGGCGTTTCTGTGTGGAGTTTGCATGTTCTCCCTGCCTTCGTGTGGGTTTCTTCCGCGTGCTCCGGTTTCCCTCTCAGTCCAAAGACATGTGGTGGAGGTGAATTGGGTAGGCTAAAATGTCTGTAGTGTATGAGTGTGTGTGTGAATGTGTGTGTGGATGTTTCCCAGAGATAGGTTGCAGCTGGAAGGGCATCCGCTGCGTAAAAACTTGCTGGATAAGTTGGCGGTTCATTCCGCTGTGGCGACCCCAGATTAATGAAGGGACAAAGCCGACAAGAAAATGAATGAATGAATGAATGAATAACATTTTTTATTACATGTTTAACAGGTTTTTATTCGATCACATAATCCCCAGTCTGATTATTTTATTTATATAAATATTGATCTTCTTTAAATTGAGATTTAGGTCATGACCGAAAGGACAAGATCTCGGATACAAGCGGCCGAAATGAGTTTACTTTGCAGGGGGGCAGATAGGGTGAGGAGCTCTGTTACCCGGGAGGAGCTCGGAGTAGAGTCGCTGCTGGAAACGCAGTTGAAAATGAATGATTGAGCTCTGTGTAATGAAGCATCTCTTCATTGTACAGTAACACAAAGGCAATTCCTGTGATTCCAGTCAGTGTTATATCTGTTCATCAGTCCAAACTTCATCATCCTTTTCTTTTGCACCGGTCTAGATTTCACCTATGAATATGTTCAGAGAGAAGCGCTGCGGACCCCGCTTGTGTTTAAAGCCAAAGATGGACTGGGAATAAGGTGAGAGCAGACCGAACTGCTTTACTTTCGGGCTGATCCTATAAATGCAGGTACATTTGGTAAAACAAAAAACTCTTAATTCTTTCCACTATCTCATTGAAAGCTTCTTAATTTTACTTTTAGGGAGAAACAGATTTCTTAAAAGCAGTGTCAACTATGTTACAGACAAATAAGGTCACGTGTAGAAAGAAAAATCCTTTTTTCTTATTAGATAAACAGACAGTCCTTATATATTAACACTTAAAACCAAGATTTCACCCATGGACACACATTTGTTTTAGTACATTAGGCTAACCCTCGTAATGCATTTATAATCTGTGCGCTCTGTTTGAATTCTGTGTTCGTTTGGATTAATTTATATTTTAATAATGAATAAATGTATATTTATTGTTGTAGAATTGGGAAAATGTCAATTTAAAGCTTTTTATGAATACAAATTAAATATTAATATTAATTTATATATATATATATATATATAATTAATAAATATTAATTTTATATTCTGATTTCACTACCTTAGTTATATGTAGACTATCAAAAAATTGTATAGCTTAAAGGGGCTCATAATTTTGCCCTTAAAATGGCTTTTAAAAATTTAAAAACTGCTTTTATTCTAGCCAAAATAAAACAAATAAGACTTTCTCCAGAAGAAAAAATATTATCAGACATACTGTGAAAATTTCCTTGCTCTGTTAAACGTCATTTGGGAAATATTTAAAAAAGATCATTGATACCAAATTATTAATTGTTGTTCTAAAACTTGTTAAGGTGACAGGACTTTTGTCAGGTGGTGTATATGACGGGAAAAATGCACTAACTTGGACGTCATGATTTTTGGCAATGTCTGTACAGAATATATTGTATTGTTATGGCTTATAATATCTTGTGATCCATGACAATAATATATGTGATAAGTGATATATTTCATAAATAATTAAAAGCTGACAAACTGATTGCTTTGGACACCAAATGTACCTGCAAGTATAAAATGCTCCTAATATACAGTACAGTGTTCAGCATTATTGAGTACACGCCATTTTGAAAATGAATATTTTTCTCCATTTCTCAGTGAATATAGTCAGTATATTTTGGTGCATTTATTAAACAGATTTATTAAACAGATATATTTTAATATAAATTTTACAATCATATTTTAGTATAATATTATTTTATTCACCAAACATCTTTAAAAATTAAAAGATAATACTATTAAATTCAAGCAAAATATTGCAAAAATAAATTACAACCTACAAAATTTCTACTACATTTTTTCTCATTTTTTTGCTTCTCTTTTTTAAATGTGTATTTAATATTTTTCTATAAGATATAAATTTGGCTCTACTAGTTTTTGGACCATTATTGTAAGGTATTTTGTTAGATAAGCTCCAGTTTTGTGCATATGCACTAATATAATATTTTGTTTGCTTCCCATTAAAAATATGAATTTAAAAGAGAGCTTTGTGAGGGGTGTACTTATATATGCTGGACACTGTAGATGTTTATTTCGGACATCTCTCATCTGGATTGTTTAATCTCCTACAGGATGCCGGATCCAGAATTCACTGTGAGTGAAATCAAGGGTTTGGTTGGTAAGTTATTACATTACATTCGCCCTTTGTTTAGTTTATAATTTCATCTAAAGTGCAGTGTTACAGTTGTTTGGTTTACTGGTGTTGATAACATCGTGTGCTTTTGTTAATCTTTAGTTTTCATCGTTATTATCTGAGACCTTTAGTATGATTTCTGCCATTTCTATTGTCAGTATCTAATCAGATCTTTCATAACCCACAAGCAGGGAACGTCTGCTTTGATGCAGGCGTTTATACATGTGTTAGTCACTAGGGTTGAGAAATATAGTTATGGCGTGTGTATTTCTTGAAACTAATTAATCGAATGCTTGGTTAAGAGCAGTGAGTAAAATAAAGGTGCTGTTTAAAACCAATGATTTAAGGTGTACAGAATGTAAAGAGTTTTTAATGGGAAGAAAAATGCAGAATTGTTGCGTCCTCTAGTGGAGATACTCTGCAACTGCGGCTCAATATTAAGGCACCACATTGCACAATATAAAAACTGAAATGCAAGTTTTGTGCTGTTTAATTTACTACTATTAGATATTATTGTAGTTTTTATTACTAGTTTTTAATTTTTAATTAATTTTGTTTTCATTTAATAATTCATTTTAAATGCATCTACGCTGTAAAAAAGTTGCCTCAACTGTAACTTGCTTTTTTGAGTTGAGTCAAGTGCAGTTCTTGGGTTGAAAGTTGAGTCAACTCAAAAAAATAAAAAATTCTGCAGCAAGTTGCCTTACAATTTTGTTATATATAGTATAACTATAAGTTTTTAACTATATATATTAAGTAACAAAAAAAAAAAAATATATATATATATTAATAAACTTTATGCAATCTGCACTCCATAATAAAAGTACAAAGACTGCCAGCTGCTTGTTCATAGAGAAAATGTATTGATATGAACTTTTTAGATGCAAACACGTGCATGCACAATATTCGATCTTTAAAAAAAAAGGATAGTAATTTATGCAGTCAGGCACGAGTTTTGATCACTAACATGCCGATGACTGACACTTTTATAGATATCAAAATGCTTTTTTGATGCAATATTAATTTATACAGCTATTCCTTAAGCCTGTTAAAAACCTTGAGTAGGCCTAGACTACTATAATAAAGAAAATCTTGTCTAAATGTAGAACTAAATACATTGATATGCATTGAAATACATGATGAATACTCAACAGATAAAAGTGTAAAGCCTGCAGCTTACAACAAACGTGGGAAGTTATTGCGTGTCATATTTAACAAACCGTTTACTGCTAATTTGATGTAATTTTGCTTGAATAGATAATTAAATATTAATCAGATGATGTCACACTGCTGTGCCACCAGCCAATCGTTACATTACTGATCATGATTTCTAGGATGGATAGATCTGTCCTTCACAATATGCGCAGAGATCTCAGATAAGTTTATCCAGACATTTTAATCTGATTCACAAACTTGTTTTTTTATTTTTATTTTTATAATATTTTTTTAGGGGTTTTCACCTTTATTTGATAGGACAGTAGAGTATTGACAGGAAAGCATGGGGAGCAGAGAGAGAGGAAGGATCGGCATAGGACCGCAAGGCGGAATCGAACTGGGGTCGCCGCGAGCACCTGAGTGCATGTGTCGACGCACTAACCACTACACCACTTGCACCGACACAAACTTGTTTGAACAACCAAATAAGCCAGAGATCAGTTATCAAGATGAACAGATCCAGGATCTGCATAATCATCTTAGCTCATTTAAGTGAGGTACGAAGAATAGACCCCTGGTCAGAACAAACCAAAAACAACACATTTAAGCACTACATTTTATAACACAAATAAATACAAAATACATTCTGAAAATTTACTTTAGTTAGTTGCAATAATGGAAATATTACTCCTTTGCAGCTAGCCAAGAAATAAAATCTCAAAATGTATTTATTCTAGGTAAGCATTTTATTTGAAGTAACAAAAACTATTTTAGCTTTGTTCATTATCTGTAATAATCCCTTTTTCGTACGGACTTGATGTTAATCTTTCTATTCTGTTAGCTTTAATTTCACGGTAGCACAGGACATTTTTATTAGAGAGGTTTCTGATTGATGATGTGTGTGTGTGCGTGAGATTGTGATTACAAATCACTTGACTTGGTAAGAAAGGCTGTTTCTCAATATGCGTTCTTCAGCGGTCTTGCGTCCTCGTGTTCTCGTGCAACGTCATCATCAGCTGCCTAAGTTCAGTTCCAATACTCAAGACCGCAAGTACGGAGGACGCGTGAATCTTCCCGGATGTGATCTTGATATCGAGGACGCACCGATGTAGACTTGAGCACCAATCTCGCTCTGGAAGTCACAGAAGTCATTGCGACTGGAATTGCGAAGCGCTGCATTTTAAATAGATTTATTATTAAAGTTCAGAGATATAACTTGTTTACCTCAGGAGTTTCCCTAAATGAAACGGTGAAAGTAAATATTAACATGAACATCTTAATAAAGGAATAAACACATTAAGGGTGTTTGTTTGCTAAAATTTGTTTTAAAATTGTATTTATATTGTGCAATATATATTTATAATGTTTTTATGCAAAGTATATTTTTTTTGAAAAGGGGAAAAACAATAAATCGTTGTATGAAGGCTGTAATGTTTAAATAATTTACCATTTAAAAGGCGTGAAGGTCATGTGACCATCAGGAAGAACGCAGCATCTCAATTCTCAAAGGACGCGTTCTCTGCCCTCGCGGTCTCCTGAGTTCGTTCTTCCGAGGACACCTGGCAAGACCGCTCTCTACAAGAACCCAAGTCCGTTCTCTGCGTTCTTGGAATTGAGAAACAGCTAAAGACTCTAAATAAATAGCCAAATACAGCTCTGTGTCTGCAGTAATAGGCAGTCTGCATGTTTTGGAAAACACCTTGTCATCTCTATCCCTAATATTTTTTTTTTGTGAGCAGAGGTGATTTGAGTTTGCTAATAATGTCCTGTAAAAGATATTCAGGAATTGTATTTATTATGCTGTGTTTGTTGCTTTATTTAGTATTAGTCATTCCACATAAAATGATCAAATATACACACCTTCAGGCAGCAGACGACCGGTGGATGTGATGGACGTCAGCACACAGAAGGGTTCAGAGATGAGTATGGCACAGTTCGTCCGCTACTACGAGACTCCCGAAGACGAGCGCGATAAATTGTTCAACGTCATCAGTCTGGAGTTCAGCCACACCAAACTGGAGAACCTGATCAAGAGACCTACAGTGGTAAGAACACAGATGGTTTACCGCTTCATGGCAGACATTTTATGTTTACGTCTTGAGTAATGTTCAGATTTGCTAACCTTTCGTTATGTTAGGGGATGTTTGAAAACCAGCAACAATTAAGAATGCATGATCATATAGGCTGTCATGGCTTATAATGGAAGTCAATGGGGCAAAAACAGCCCCGAACATAACGAAAGGGTAGTCAATCTTTCCAGAGTATATTGCTAAATTTTTGAACATTTTTCAATTCAATTTAATTCAGCTTTATTTGTATAGCGCTTTTACAATGTAGATTGTGTCAAAGCAGCTTCACATAAATGGTCATAGTAACTGGAACAGTGTGGTTCAGGTTTTAGTGTTCAAGTTCAGTTCAGTTCAGTTTAGCTCAGTTCAGTGTGATTTAATCATTACTGAGAGTTCAAACACATTTTCAAAGCATTTTCCCCAAATGTGTATCAGAATAAGATTAGTCATCAAAAACCATCCCATTTGCTGAAACACAGAGAAAATCGTGGCCAAATTAAGACTTAAAACCACCCCGGAGTGGAAGAAAACACCCCAACAGCACACAAGGGTCATGGAGCTATATATACAAAAATATTGATGCATTTACTTTAATGTGTGAAGAACTTTTTATTAGAAATTATTGTTACTGTGATAATAGTACATGCAATAGACAGAATCTGGACGCTTTCTGCTATTTCGGTGGAGAATTTTGGTAAAAATCAGCAGATTTGTGCGGAATTATTTTAGGAGTATCATAACTAAATCCTTAATATGTGAAATAAAAAAATGATATATTTTTAACTTGTATTTAATGTTTACAATGCAAATCTAATTAGATTCACTTTATTTGGTAACCAAAGCCAGTTTCTCATATAATATCTCTACTAAAAGACCTGTAATATTACCTTACAAACTGCACTGTACATAAATCAGATGAACATTTTCATATTAGTCAATAATATTACTGTAATTAATATAAAACTGAATAAACAGATCTACTGACATTTACTCAAGTAAATAAACAGAATTAATGATTGGCTAAAAATCTGCGGAAATCTGAGGAGTTCTGTGCGCACAGATTCTTTGTGGGCCGATACCTCATAGAGGTGCAGTAAATATCTTTATATAATATCTGCCCAGGTTTTCTTTCATTCGTAGTCTTTAAATAATAGTTGATATTACTGTTTAAATGTTTGGTAGATTGGAAAAGTGTATTAGATCAGACAGATATGCATGAATACCTGTTTATTTTAGTATGATCACTACATACAGTATATATACAGTGGCGGAAAAAGTATTGAACACGTCATGTTTGACATGACATTTTTCTGGGAATAATATTTCTAAAGGAGCTATTTGATATGGAATTAAACCAGATTTTGGTGAAAACCCAAACAATACAAACAAAAATAAAACAACAGAACAAAAGTTCTGTGTAATAACAATGAAATGACACAAGGAGAAAGCACTGAACTACTGAAACGTATTTAATACTTTATAGAAACGGATTTTTAATGATGGCAGCTTAAAGACGCCTCTCATATGGAGAATGAAGTCACATGCATTGTTCAGGTGTGAGTTTCTCACAGACTTCAGCAGTGTGTCTAAATCTTGATGGTTCTGTGGGTCTCGACTCAGATCTGAGCTTTATTTAGGATTTTCTATTGGATTCGGGTCAGGTGATTGGCTGGGCCATTCTACAGCTTGATTTTCTTTCTCTGAAAGCCTCTGAGATCCTCCTTGGCTGTGTTTTGGATCATTATCTTAGCTAAAATGTCCACCCTGGTTTCATCTTCATCCTCCTGCTAATGTAGATGTTGGACTGAAGCAGCTGATGTTCATTTACACTGAGAAAGGGCTGAGAGTTGCTGAAGAACTACTGAGAGATTTCAGCTGCTGTCCGGGCCTTCACTGCCAAACTAAACCTCCCTTTCTTCATGTGTTCAATACTTTTTCCTTGCGTCATTTCAGTTATTTATTACTCATAACTTAATTTGTGTACTAATTAATATTGTTTCTTTTGCATGTATGGATTTCTTTGGTTGTTATCAACATCTGGTGAAAATTTCAAGTCAGCAGCTCCATTAGAAATATGTTTTCTGAGAAAAATGGTCACGCTTTGAATTGCTGAATACTTATTTCCCGCACTGTATGTAAATGTGTGTGTGTGTGTGTGTTATATATGTATATATATCTTTTTTAAGCTAATAAAAATGGCTTTTCTCTAGGGAAATGTTATATCACAAAAAATATCACACAATATATCGCTATTTTTAGCATCCTGATAGCAATAAAAACATTGACGTCCTGTCAACATTTAAAGCTATAGTAACCCAAAAATGAAAATGGACTCACTTTTTACTCCCTCAAGTATTTTTAAACCTTTATGAGTATCTTTATACTGCCAAACACAAGAGAAGATATTATAAAGACAGCTGAAAAACCAGTAACCATTGACTTACATAGTCGAAAAAACTAATATGGAAGTCTAAATAGTGTGCAGGCTAGTATATACTCTATCTTTTTTTCTTTTTAATTAAAATAATTAAAGAACTAATAAACTATTAAGGCTCAGAACAATGTTTTGTGTCTAATTTTTATATTTTGTGGCAAGTAGCTGAGTAAGAAGTGAGATAAAGTACATCGAGGACAGTTGATTTCGCAAAATAAAGCTCTTCAGTCTTATACTGAAGCAAGTCAAGTCATGCAATTGTATTTGTTTATTTAGTTTCAATAATACAAAAAGTTTGCTATGAATTGATCTTATAGATCATAAGAAGTTGCCGTATGCCAAGTGCAGATGCTAATACAACAGTGAGGATTTGTAACAGTTGTAATGCATGTGAAATAGGTGCTTTTGTTTGAGTATGAGTATTATAAAGCGTATCGTTTGTCCTCAGGTGGATCTGGTGGATTGGGTGGACAACATGTGGCCGCGGCATCTTAAACAGAAACAAACGGAAGCCACGAACGTCATGTCTGAGATGAAATATCCCAAAGTTCAGAGGTACTTTATGATGTTCATTTAGGGTTTCTGCCGATTTCACCAAGTCAAATTAAAGACTTTTAAAGACCATTATGAATGAAATTTTAGACTTTTACAGAGCAAAACTCTAAGAATTTTTTGTAATGGCCAGTGGAATATTTTTTTACTCGCCCCAATAAAATTGAAATTAGGTTATTTCTTAGCCACATATTTTAAATAATGTGTCAAAATATAGTTATATATATTTAATATACAGTTGAAGTCAGAATTATTCGCCCCCTGGTTATTTTTTCCCCAAGATACTTTTCAACACATTTCTAATCATAATAGTTTTAATAACTCATTTCTAATAACTGATTTATTTTATCTTTGCCATGACGACAGTAAATTATATTTGATTAGATCTTTTTCAAGACACTTCTATACAGCTTAAAGTGACATTTATAGGCTTAACTAGGCTAATTAGGTTAACTAGGCAGGTTAGGGTAATTAGGCAGGTTATTGTATAGCGATGGTTTGTTCTGTAGACTATTGAAAAAAAAAACATAGCTTAAAGGGGCTAATAATTTTGACATTAAAATGGTGTTTAAAAATTTAAAACTTTTATTCGAGTCGAAATAAAACAAATAAGACTTTCTCCAGAAGAAAAAATATCTGACATACTGTGAAAATTTCCTTGCCCTGTTAAACATCATTTGGGAAATATAAAAAAATTCAAAGGAGGCGAATAATTCTGATGTCAACTGCATATTTATATATAAATTTTAGTTATTGCTGAGAGTAAATTAAGAAACAACACTTTATATTTAATCAGAGCCTCACTGAAACATTTGTAGAATGTATTTCAGTGTTTTGTTCTCAGTATTTCAATGAGTATTTTAGCTAGAAATCTCTCAACATATTAAAAATAAGTGTTACTATTTGTTTCAGAATGCTTAAAGAACAAATGTTCTTTAAAAACCTTACCCTCAGATAAAGTTACATTTTCTGAATTTATTTTCTTCATTTATTTATCTCTTTGATGTTTGATTATAAAATTTATTCACAACACATTTTCATGCATAAATTCACGGAGAACTTGAAACAAATGTGATTGTCAGGATTCAAGGAAGATATTTAAACAATATTGATAAATACAGTGAATCAATTTTACAAAATCAAACAGTGCTCAGGGGTAGCTTAAATAATGTGTTGGTGGTCTTTTGGTAAGGGATTCATCAGAATAAACAGCAAAAATCAGTCCAAGGCACTTAAAAAATGTGGAAAAAATATACATTTTTTTTTTTTAAATATATATTTTTTTTCATAGTACCTTGGACTGATTTTTTAAATTGACATTTTAAGATGCATTATATATATATATATATATATATATATATATATATATTCAGGGCTTAATATGTGCCGGAACACGCCGGATCTGGCACATCATTTTACCGATCATACTCCTCAACCGCCCTCCTCCCTTGTTCACTTTCTCTTTCTTTTGCGACCCAACTCTTCACTTTCCCCTGCCTGCTCACTATCGTCAGCGACGCCCCTCTGCCATCCACCACACTGCACAGCCACAATGCGAATCTACCGTTCCGCCACATGCCAGTAGTGCTTTATTGGATTGAGATCTGGTGACTGTGGAGGCCATTTGTGTACAGTGAACTCATTGTCATGTTCAAGAAAGCAGTCTGAGAATATTCACGCTTTATGACATCGCGGTTATCCTGCTGGAAGTAGCCATCAGAAGATGGACACACTGTGGTCAGAAAGGGATGGACATGGTCAGCAACAATACTCAGGTAGGCTGTAGTGTCAACACGTTGCTCAATTGTTACTAATGAGCCCAAAGTGTGCCAAGAGAGTATCCCCCACACCATTACACCACCACCAGCCTGAATCATGTTGTTGATGCCAAATTCTGACCCGACCATCTGAATGTCACAGCAGAAACGGAGACTCAACAGAGCAGGCAACGTTTCTCCAATCTTCTATTGTCCAGTTTTGGTGAGCCTGTGTGAATTGTAGCCTCAGTTTCCTGTTCTTAGCTGACAGGAGTGGCACCCAGTGTGGTCTTCTGCTACTGTAGCCTATCTCCCTCAAGGTTGGATGTGTTGTGTGTTCAGAGATGCTCTTCTGCAGAACTCGGTTATAACAAGTGGTTATTTGAGAACTGCAAATCTACATGCCTAAATGCATTGAGTTGCTGCATGTGATTGGCTGACTAAAAATTTGCTCAAACAAGCAGTTGGACAGCTGTACCTAATAAAGTGGCCGGTGTTATATATATAAAAATGTATTATTTTTTTCATAAACATAAAATGGGCTCTTAGTTGACAGTCTGAGCTTGTCGAGTCAATCTCAGCAACCTGCTTTAGTCAAAGACGATGTCTGCTCATTTCCCAGAGTGCCTTGCTCTGCTCCTCAGCACATGCTGCGCATTTCTCTGGCCTGCAGCTGCTGCGACTCCATCAGGTTGCTAGGCAGCACTTTTCTAATGCGGAGAAGAGGCGGATCCTGCTGCAGTGTCCCAATGAGTCCAGCTCAGCCAATCAGAGCAGGGCAGAGGAGCATTTCCTGCACGCAGAAGCCCAGTCTCCCTCTCTCTTCCTGTCCTCATCTCACTCTCATGCAGGCAGCTCCTCAGAAAAGCAGAAATCCAGCTCGTAAAGTCAATCGGGTTGCCAATGCTTTACTTGTGCAGAGAAGAGCCTCAGATCAGGATGAAGCACTGTTGGGTATGTTTGTGCATTGTACTTGCTCCTGCTGTATTTTGGTGAACTTTCTTTGCTAGTTGTGCTGTCATTCATGTTTGGTAAGAGCACTTTTGATTGTGTGGTCTATGGTGATGCTTTAATTATTAAGGAAATCTTCCTTTTTTCATTACTTAATGCTGCAGGTGGTAATATTAGTATAGATCTGGCAACATGGAGGTTATAGCTATAGGAATATTATAGGTTATGCACATCAAGGTTATAGTTTTGTTTTGGCTGCTTTCTGCGCGTCATGGTCTCCGCTGAATGGATGGCAGTGGTATTTGATATTGATTGAGATCAGATTGATTGATGGACAGCGTGTTATTTTGTGTGTATTATATGGCTGAAGATTATGAGATGATGCTCAGGTGACCTGACAATGCAATTCTGCACGAGAATAAATACAGAATAGGCAGCACTGCAAAAATGCTATTCTTACTTAGATTTTTTGTCTTGTTTATTGTCCAAATATCTAAAACATCTTTAATCAAGAAGCATTTTCTAGACGAGCAAAAAATCGTTTTGTTTTAAGCAATAATATGCCAAAATGAAGTGAAATTTTCCCTAAAACTAGCAAAATAATCTTGTTTTTCCTTTTTACATGACATTATTTTGCTTACCCCATTGGCAGGTTATTTTGCTTGTTTTAGGGGGAAACATACTTGACTTTGACTTATTTATGAAAATAAGACAATATTTTTGCTCATTTTTTGAGCATTTTTTGAGTATTTTTTTGATATTTGGACTTGAACAATTTTTTTGCAGTGTGGAGATAATGGTAAACAGCTATGAATGATGATGTCAGGATTATTATAGAAATATTAAATGTTTAATTATACATGTAAGCATTTTTACATCTTATGTATGCATATTATATATATATATATATATATATATATATATATATATATATATATATATATATATATATATAAAATAATAATTTCATATAATCAATATATATATAATCATTTCATTTATATTTGCTTACTGTTTCCCATTGGGGAAAAATACGTTTTTTATGTTACGTTTATTAATAATTAGATGTGTTTTTTCATAAAACTATATTTTAATGCTACTGTTTATCATATTTTATTGATATTGAAAGATATTAACACAAATATGTATGTAATATATTAATATTGCAATTCTATTGATATATTTCTCATGGGGTTATTTTCAATTGCTAATCTTTATATTGTATTAAAAATTTAAGTATTTAAAGATAATAAAATCCTTAAAACCAACTTTAAATGAATTTATATTTTAATTGTATTAATAATTTAAGGACATTTCATTGATATTAAAACTCTATTAATATAATTTCTTTATTTAATTTTATTTTATTATTTTTTTTACGATAATTACATTGTGCTCTCTTTAGGAAAGTATTTTAATGTATAATAATTCTGCATTATTAGTCTCTGTGAGGATACTATGTAGTCATTGATTATTAATTCATAACTCTTCATCTAAGAGCTCTAATTATAGGCTGCGACCTCTGAGGTTTCAGGTTGCGATATATTACTCTAGAGTAACTTGCTTTTGCCTGCTGTCCATGAGGCTATAACGTTTGTCCTCACTTTAATTTGAAAAACATCTGGATCTGCAGTGCTTGTTTTTTGCACCAACTCTAGTGACAACATCTCTAGTGACATCATCTCCAGTACTTCATCTTTAATGACATCATCTATAGTGTCATCATTTACAGTGGCATAATCTCTAGTGACAACATCTCTAGTGACATCATCTCCAGTACTTCATCTTTAATGACATCATCTATAGTGTCATCATTTACAGTGGCATAATCTCTAGTGACAACATCTCTAGTGACATCATCTCCAGTACTTCATCTTTAATGACATCATCTATAGTGTCATCATTTACAGTGGCATAATCTCTAGTGACAACATCTCTAGTGACATCATCTCCAGTACTTCATCTTTAATGACATCATCTATAGTGTCATCATTTACAGTGGCATTATCTCTAGTGACAACATCTCTAGTGACATCATCTCTAGTGACATCATCTCCAGTAGCATCATCTCTAGTGACATCATCTCCAGTAGCATCATCTCTAGTGACATCATCTCCAGTACTTCATCTTTAATGACAACATCTATAGTGACATCATTTACAGTGGCATTATCTCTAGTGACAACATCTCTAGTGACATCATCTCCAGTAGCATCATCTCTAGTGACAACATCTCTAGTGACATCATCTCCAGTAGCATCATCTCTAGTGACATCATCTCCAGTACTTCATCTTTAATGACAACATCTATAGTGACATCATTTACAGTGGCATTATCTCTAGTGACAACATCTCTAGTGACATCATCTCCAGTAGCATCATCTCTTGTGACATCATCTCTAGTGACGACATTTAAGGTGACATCACCTTCAGTGCAATCTTCTCCAGTGGCAATATCTCCAATGACATCATGTCCAGTGACAACATCTCCAATGACATCATCTACAGTTACATAATCTACAATAGCATCATCTTTAATGACATCATCTCTAGTGGCAACATCTCTAGTGGCATCATTTTCAGTGGCATCTTCTTCGGTAACATCATCTTCAGTAACATCATCTCCAATATCATCGTCACCAGTGGCACCATCCCCAGTAATTTCATCTCTAGTGACATCATCTATAGTGACATAATTTACAGTGGCACCATCTCCAGTGACAACATCTCTAGTGACATCATCTCCAGTGACAACGTCTATAGTGACATCACCTCCAGTGGAATTATCTCCAGTGACATCATCTACAGTGACATCATCTATAGTGGCATCACCTCCAGTGGAATCATCTCCAGTGACAACTTCTCTAATGACATCATCTATAGTGGCATCACCTCCAGTGGAATCATCTCCAGTGACAACATCTCTAATGACATCATCTACAGTGACATCATCTATAGTAGCATCACCTCCAGTGGAATCATCTCCAGTGGGCAATATCTTCAATGACATCATCTACAGTGACATCATCTATAGTGGCATCACCTCCAGTGGAATCATCTCCAGTGACAACATCTCTAATGACATCATCTACAGTGACATCATCTATAGTGGCATCACCTCCAGTGGGCAATATCTTCAATGACATCATCTACAGTGACATCATCTATAGTGGCATCACCTCCAGTGGAATCATCTCCAGTGACAACATCTCTAATGACATCATCTACAGTGACATCATCTATAGTGGCATCACCTCCAGTGGGCAATATCTTCAATGACATCATCTACAGTGACATCATCTATAGTAGCATCACCTCCAGTGGAATCATCTCCAGTGGGCAATATCTACAGTGACATCATCTATAGTGGCATCACCTCCAGTGGGCAATATCTTCAATGACATCATCTACAGTGACATCATCTATAGTAGCATCACCTCCAGTGGAATCATCTCCAGTGGGCAATATCTACAGTGACATCATCTATAGTGGCATCACCTCCAGTGGGCAATATCTTCAATGACATCATCTACAGTGACATCATCTATAGTGGCATCACCTCCAGTGGAATCATCTCCAGTGACATCATCTCCAGTGACCATATCTTGTGGCATCATTTTTGCTAGTGACGTAATTTCCAGTGACATCATCTCCAGTGACAACATCTCTAGTGGCATCATTTTCTAGTGACATAATTTCCAGTGCCTTCTCCAGTGACCTTACCTCCAGTGACAACATCTGTAATATCATCATCACCAGCAGCAACATCTCCAGTGACGACATAATGACATCAGTGGCAACATGCCCAGTGACAACATATTTAATGACATCATCTTCATTGACATCATCTCCAGTGGCAACATGCTCAGTGACATCATCTCCAGTGAGATCTCCAATGACATCATCTCTGGTGACAACATATTTAATGACATCATCTCCAGTGGACATCTTTAGTGACATCATCATCTCTAGTGACATCATTTCCAGTGACAGTATCACTAATGACATCATGACTAGTGACATCATCTCCAGTGACATCATTTGCCATCTTTGCAAAGCCATCACATGTGTATAAGTCTGGTAATAATGAGCCTGTCAGTTACAACAGATCCACACTTTCGTGACCCCTAAATTTAGAAGTTTAATTTCTCAAGGCCTCAGCCATCTGGGTTTGATGTCAGATAATTTTTTTCAGTTCAAGACGCCCCGCGGTGAGCGATGCCTTTTTGCTCATTAGTGCTAACAGATTCCTTTGCTTTTTTTCTGCTACTGGCTCAGTGGGGCAGATTTTAACCAGACACCGAGGCTGTTTGGGGTTTGATTAATTCTACTCCTCGCTACAGAGCAGATGACAAATGCACAACCCGAAAATAGCTTCCCTGTCCTGTTGTTGAGACGGCTTTATCTGAAGAAAACTGATATAAGGGACCAAACTTGCTCATTTTGAGGCAGAAACCGGTGGACGTGCAATAACTTTAACCTCAAGGTAAACACAAAGCCACAGTCTCCATCCGGAGCTCCTTGTAAACAGTCGATTCACTCGTTCATTCATTAATTTATTTTCTTGTCGGCTTAGTCCCTTTATTAATCCGGGGTCGCCACAGCGGAATTAACCACAATCTTATCCAGCACGTTTTTATGCAGCGGATCCCCTTTCTAGCTGCAACCCATCTCTGGGAAACATCCACACACACACTATGGACAATTTAGCCTACCCAATTCACCTGTACCGCATGTCTTTGGACTGTAGTTAAATTTTTTGAAAGGTGCACGTCAGCGACGCCGATGGCCATGCGTCCACACGTAGGATTCGCCATAGCATATGTGTGCGCTTGACGCGGAAGTATAAATCAGCCTTAAGACTGACACCCAGTGGTTGAACTAGATATTGCACTTCTGAACACTTTTTAACTAGGCCACAAAGTCAAGTTGCCAGATTGACGACACCAACAGGCGCGAGCGTAACTATCAAGCCAACAATATGCTACAATTAAAAATATTTTCCATGCTAAAGGAGTTTATGTCTATGCCATAACCTGAAATTTCTATTTTAGAAACAGCTTCTATTTCTCGTGGTTGAACAGCAGCATAAACTTCTATGACTGTGATCACTGGTCATGCCCTTTCTTCTGTAAATGGTATAAATGATGTAAGATAATGCAAAGGGATATGTTGTTTTGTTGTGAAGTCATTTGTGTTTCCTCTTTTATCCCTGATTAGGGAATTTAAAAGCTGTAAAAGTCACTAATGTCCACTGATGTTTTGAGTTGTATCTCTTTGCAATTAAAAAACAAACAAACCATGACTGTAGTTCAGTATGTTCTGTCCACAAAAGAGAAACCGAGCCTTGAGTTACTGCTGAAAATAACACTCGGTTCTGGGATAGTGCTGTTGATTGAGAAGGGGGAATTCCACTGTAGACACTTATAAAGGAAATATTAATTTTAAGGTTGGGAGTTGAACATTCCCATGGTGTAGTTACTCCCATCTCTTCTCTATTTCTTGGTCAGGATTTAGAAAGATCATTAGGGATTTATCGCTCTCCTCTATTTATGCAGATGTTGCGAATCACGCTTGTACTTTCCCTGTTTCTGTCTGCTTGTAGATACTGTCTGATGAGTGTGAAAGGCTGCTTCACTGACTTCCACATCGACTTTGGCGGCACATCGGTTTGGTATCATGTCTTCAAAGGACAGAAGGTAAGCCTAAGTTCCATATAACAGCCATCTTCGATTTGAAGAATCCCCCCTTCCACCCCTACTCCTCCTCCTGTGGGTGGCACGGTGGCCCAGGGGTTAGCACTGTTGCCTTACCGCAAGAACGTCACTGCTTCTAGTCCTTACCAAGTCAGCTGACGTTTCTGTCCAGAGTTTACACATTCTCCCCGTGCTCACGTAGGTTTCCTCCGGGTTCCCCGTTTTCCTCCCACCGTCCGAAAAAATGCAACTTAATTGATTAATCCAAATTGGCACCATAGACGTGCTCCTAGTAAGTAGTTATCTTTTAAGAGCAATCACTATCTGTTCATTAACTACTGCAGCAGGGGAGTTCTCCAGATCTGCCTGAGCTCAAACTCCCCTCTCGCCTTGCAAACGGGAGGGAGCCCCAGGCTCAAGGATCTTATGAGCTCAGTGCTCTCTCCCAGGACAGCATGCCAAACACGCTTTATAATCAATCATCAGCTAAGTGTGAACTCTTGAAGTACAATTATTTATTATTTCGTTTTATTATTTATAGAGTTTTTTTTTTTTTAAAGAATATTCAGATTGTATTTGAAGTGTTGTTCATAAAAGCGGGAAATGCTTGGAGGTTTAATTTGTTTTCTGAAGCCTGGTTTATACTCCATGCGTCCGCTAATTCGCTCGCGGTGAATGTGACGTCATTGCTGAGTTTGCGGAAGTTCGCCGTTAGTAAACCATTCAAAAGACGCCCCTCTTAACGCAAAAAGCGCATTAGACCGGCCCCTTATGCAGCCAAACTAAAAGTATATAAAACAATATTTTTTAATCGTTTTACTGATACTAGGGCTGGGCGATTTGGCAAAAAAAAAAATCTAGGTTTTTTATAAAGTTTGATCGATTCACGATTTAGATTTTTTTTATTGTGTTACTAGTTTTCTCAAAACATTACAACAACATGACTGAAGTAACATTCTCTTTAAAAGTAACTTAAAAAACCATCTGGTTAAGGAACGTTGTATTTTTAATGGCCATGTCATACAAAAATCGGTCAAGGTGTAAATAAATGTAAAACAAATTCACGAGTTAAATAGCCTTGCTGAAGATTTGAATAAGAAATATTTGTGTAAATATTGCAGTTGCAGGAATACAGAGGGATTTTTTTTGCAAGTTTTGCTGAGCCTAGGAAAGATTGGCTGTCAGCTCGGCTTTGGCTTTGTCTTCTGATTGAATGTCAGGTTGTAAAGCTGCTGCCTTTTTCTTAAAAAGATACAGTGGAAGAAAAGGACTGAACATGAAAACTGTAAAGCCTAATTTAACCCAATGTGTGAAGTTGTGGACGTATAGCAGGAGCAAATACAAGCACCAGATGTGTGTCTAATATAAAATAATATATTTAATCTATTTTTCTATTTCCCCCTTTTAAATACCGATCATTTGATGCGCTTTGCTCCACTCTCTGTATTATGCTGCCTGATCTGTCTGGTTTTCAACTAGGTCCTCTAAATGATGTCATGGGGGCGGGTACTTTCATTTTTGACTGCTGCATGCCCTCACCTCTGCTCGTGTTCAAACCAAAAGATCGGCGTGGTTTTTCACATGGCACGCTTTTACGTCCTTTATACATGTTGAAATCCTCACAGACGTGACTCAGACTAATGCAACAAGTAAAATCCTACATGACTTCATGTTTTAACAGGCAGTCAAGCAGGTCGTACAACAGAAGCGCCGCAACACGGCGTGCACATGACAGTTTAAACCATCACACACCAAACGCGCACATTCGCATGATATTTAACATGACACTAATCAGATGGCGCTCTGTGGCGCGGCTAAAATATAACCTGCATCCTGAATCGTGGCTGGGCAGCGCCGGTGTGTGTATAGAAACCTGTTTAGAGTTCTAAAATTCATGGCGCGGCGCGTCGCCGAGAGGCGCTTCTGGTGTGCTTCCTGCTTCATACAGAGAGTGAACCAAAGCGCATTGGTGCCATTATAATGTATTAAATATATATATTTTTTAAAAATCGCGATTTCTCGATTTGATTTAAAATTAATTCATCTTAAAACGTAAATTCGAAGTAATCGAAAAAATCTGAAAAATCGCCCAGCCCTAACTGATTCCATTAATCGATTACAGCGCACCTTTCGGTTAACAGTTAATCGATTATTATGAGCATCCCTAATTGAAATGTAATAGTGTAAACTTGTTGGTTATAGAGGCCAAAACACGCACATTTTTCAAAGCAGAATAACTGACTTTAGCATTGCTTTTCAGATAAACAAGTATGTTTGGCACTTTTCTTAAATATCTGCAAACATAATATGGCATTTTTATGCTTTAGAAGAGTCAAAAATGTACACACAGCACCTTTAAGTGAAAAATAAGGTCATGAAAATGCAGTTTTTAGTCAGGGAATTTGACATTTTGCATAGAGTGGGATTTCTGTGAACACCTTAGCAACAGCCTTGTGCACCACCAAGGTTTTCTTCTCTGTTCCCTGCTCTTTTAAACTAGTTTTGTGCGCTGCAGGATTGTGTTTGTCTGTATCTGTGAAGATCAGGTGTCTGGAGGCCCTGTAAATGAATCTCTTCCCTGTTTGCATTGTTGCATCCCTGCTGGGGCCGCAGTGTCAGCAGAAATGATGCTTGTGTGTGTGTGTGTGTGTGTGCGTGTGTGTGTTTGCTGGAGGGTATCAGATAATATCCGCTCTGAAAGGTCAAACAAGAGCGCTGGCATGTGCAAGAAAGATGAGCTTGACACATGCACTGTAGGACTGAAGGAACTTCTAGGAACAGTTGTGGGAGTTTTCTCCTCTTATGTAATCCTCCTGTTTTCACCAGAGAATTGAACCAATTTCATGTTCAAGAAAGAAGCGAGGTTATCAGCTTACTCCCTTTTTTAGACATACAGTGGGGTCCAAATATCTGAGACCGTTTGTTTAACAGCTATTCTTGTGCATTTGTATTAATGAATGCAACTTTTTATTGCGCAATTTTAGCAGTTACTTTTATTAGCAAAGACCATAAATGAAGAAACATGAATTTAAAACGAAATGTAAAGTATGAAAATGTGCTTCGAAATGTGGGTCACACTTTACAGTGAGTTTTCAATCATTAATATTAATATTTACTAACATAAACTAATTATGAACAATAAAGGGCTCGAAATTAACCTTTTTGCTTGGTAGCACTGGTGCTCCTAACTTTAAAAATTTAGGCGCATCAGCCAAAATCTAGTCGCACCCACCAATTATAACCACCGTTACTACAAGTGTTATACAAACATAGCCTATTTATTGCATTTGAAGTCAATAGTAATCAAACTAACAAGCAAAAAAAATAGATATGCAAGCGTGAGGAAAATATGTCTCAACGAAATCCCGTGATCACAAGAAAATAGATTTTTTAACAGAATTGAGTGAGCAAAAGATACACAGAGTACTCACCGGCCCTGCACGCACTGCTTGACATGAATGAATCTGTTAACAATATAACTGTGCTGTTCTCATGGGTACTGTCTGATATTGCACTGATGCTTTTGACATATACTGTACCTTATTATAAGCATACGTCATGTTAATAGCAAACAAATAAACAAAATTGAATTGAAAAATTATTTGCACATTAACAATAACTACCAGTGCTTATATCCCAGTTTGTAATGGCACCTGTTTCACTGTGTCTGCTGTTCTGCAGGTCTTCTGGCTGATTCCTCCAAACGCACATAACCTGTCTCTGTATGAGGACTGGGTTTTGTCAGGCAAACAGAGCGACATCTTTCTGGGTGACCGAGCAGACGGATGCCAGAGAGTCGAGCTGAAGCAGGGATACACCTTCTTCATCCCATCAGGTAAGCTGTGCACATATATCACACAAAACAGTCGTGTACATTAGGGCTGCGCGATTATGACAAAAAAATACAACTGTTGATTATTCTATTGAAACTGTTATTGCCATTATATCACAATGAACATTTATTGATGTTTGAAATGGCTGTATACCAATGTTTGAAGCAATCGCTTGCCATATTGTTATTTATACACCAGTTCTGTCTGGTTTTCGAATCTGATTGGCTGATAGCCATGCGATTATTAAAGCAATATCAGCCCTCGTACTGCCTCTTAACCCTTGTGTATTTCTCCGCCCACACTAGGACTAAAGAGGGACGGACTAAACTACTCACTACAGTTTGACAAATATTGCAGCTGTTGGACAACATCATGTACTTTTGAGGCTTTTTTAGAGGAGAATGTAGTTGTTTAGATTGCAACTATGCAGTTTATTTATAAGGATAGAGCCTACTTTAAATATTTAGCACTTTGGAGATTCAGCAGGTCGGTGACCATCAGCCTGTCATACTGAGCAGAGCAAAGATAGTTGACGTTCAGCCACAAGATGGCGACAGAATAAGCCTTTAGACGAGAGAAACTCAGCATTTTCTTTTCGTATACTACAGCTGATCAATCTGGTAGTGTTTGCTTTGTTTTTCAGGGTTAATTATTATGATATCCCGATTGCAACAGAAAAATACTGGTAAATCTCAGTAGACTGATGGCATTTCATGTCGTTCAGCCTTATAATCCTAAAATGTGAGCAAAATCACCCGTTTTTTTAATTTATTTTTTTATAAACTTTATTTATTGAACACAAGTGGAAAGCAATCGTTGTATACAAATGTCCAATTTCTGCTTTTTTCTTTTGTTGAACACTTTTGTAAACATTTAACCCCAAAACCCCCCACCCATCCCACCCATACAAACGCATAGCCACTTTTCTTGTAAAACATATAACAGAAGACGGAGCAATAAAAAATATATATATATTAACAATAAAACAAAAATAATGATAATAGTACAATTTGAGATAAATACCTTCAAATTAATAAATAAATAAAACAAAATAAATACATTAGCTAGTTACATCAACAATAATGATGTGCTACCTACTTTTTGGTTATTATGGTTTTAGTTGTGCTGAGGTTAAACCAATGCGTCTAGTTTAGGGCTTGACAGTTCCGGAGAAAAAATGCTAGACTAAAAAAAATAATAATAATAGTAATTCTGAACATAAAATGATTTCTTAAATATCACCTCCAGAGGTGTTAAATCATCAAAATAATTTAGTAGTGGCCTCCAATGAGTATAAAACTTGTGAGATGAGCCTCTGAGAGAGAGCTTAATCTTCTCCAATTTCAAAAAACTTAAGATGTCGTGTAACCAAACTTTGATTGAGGGTGGTTGTTTCGATTTCCACCAAAATCACCCGTTTTATCATCATTTTAGACATTATGCAAGAGAATCATTCAAATGCTAGCTCTAAGGTGACGTTTGTAAATTAGTAGCGGTTTCTGCTGTTCTGACGTCAGCTGCAGATGTGAATGAATAGCGGAAGAAAGTAGTTCCTTGTACAAAAGGATTTTGAGACTCCATGTTTGATTTTATTTTTTATATACATGATTATGCCATCAAACTGCTCTATAAACGCAATATCACACTTGTAGCAGTGCGATATGGCTGTATATCGTCACTGGTGGGACACTAAAGGGTGGTCACACACCGGATGTGTCCAGCAACACAGTGCCATGCATTTTAGAATTATAAACATAGGTTTCTATCAGAATACACACACCGGCACCGCAAGTCGGCAGCTGTCCGCAGCGCCTGGCTATGACTCAGGACTCTGTTCATATTTCTGCCGCATCACAGAGCCATGCCATAATATTATATAAAACACATATACAGTATTGTGCAAAAGTCTTAAGCCCTAAGTTACATTTGTTGTTTTAGTGAGGGTATAATGGCATTTTATATTAGTTCTCATTCTCAGAAATATGCAAAAATACAGGTTCTAGTAGGTTTTTTGGGTCTGATTGTTTAAGATGTATGAAAGGAAGAGTTAGAGATGGATGGAGGAATGACTGAAAAACACTGGAGTTTCAGCCAGAGCTTTTGTCAGTATTGTCGGAATTGATGGGATTGTGAATGCTGAAAACTACAGATTCGTCAGCTAATTCCTACTAGAAAGCACCTCATTTTTACTAGTTTTATTTGTCAGGATGGTAATGATCACAAGCACACTGCTAATGTAATGAAATCATATTTGGAGAGAAAAACAGCTGATGAAACAAAGACAGTCATGAAATGGCCTTCACAGAGTCCAGACCTGAATATTATAAGGCAATATTATAGGCAGAATGAGATTCACCTGGAAAGAAAAAGACAGACACAACATGCTAAATCTGAGGAAGAACTTTTAAAGCTGAAAGATGCTTGATATTAAATAGCACATAATTTCAGAAAAGACTCAACAAAAATGTTCAAGCTGGGTGCCAAAGAGGTCACGATAAACCCAAATTTTGGATGCTAGTATTTTGTAAGGGTGTCACGATCCTCTAAATCCTCGATTCGATTACATTTTCGATTCTAAAGGCACGATTCGATTTGATTTTCGATTATGAATAATTAATTAATTAATTCATGACCAATGAATTATTTGTAGCCTACCGTTTTAAAAACCTGACCTGCATGGTCTTTGTTTTACCCATAAACAAATCATACAGTAAATGAATAAAGGCAAGATACACACATAATTACCACCTGTCAATCACTTTTTCTGCGGGACTCGTGAATAGGCAGTGATCTGTGTCGTTATAATGGCGTCGGTAAAAAAGACGCACAACCAACAGGAACCAGCCAACAGTATCTGAAGTGTTCGCTAAAATGACTAAGTACAAGTGAGGGAAAGATTGAAGCAGTCCTCTGACTGCCTGGACCTGCTGTCTCGAGCGCATGGCTGTGTGCGTCTGTGTCTGTGTGGTCACGTGATGTGCATTTTCAGAGGTAGAGAGGAAGGAGGGCTGCTCAGAAATGCTACACGCCACTGTGTTTGTCAAATCGTTGTCGTTCTAAAATGCCATTTAAAAACAAAGACAGTGTAAACAGGGCCTGAGTGTGTACTTTTCATGAGCGGATTTGCAACGGGGGCGAGCGGAGGATCGCAATGGCGGTGTTGTCTATCGGACAAACCGTACATAATACATACATAGCAGAGCTTGCAAAACTGTGTTTTTTTTTGTCGACAACACGAACGTTGTCAACATAACTCACTGGAAATCCAAAATGCTTAAACACCGGCGACTTCATTGAAAGAGGAGAGGGTTTAAGCTCTGTCGACGGGTCTCCTGCCTCTGCAGTTTAACAAGCACTTCAACAAGCCTGTTATTTTCCCGCTTGGCAAGCCAAGCTGACGTGACATGGAGGCGTGGCAGCATCGGCGATTCTATTTTTTAGCATAAGTTTCGATCGATTTCGATTAAAAATCTAAATCGTGACACCCCTAGTATTTTGATTTAAAAATGTATTTAGTACTGAATATTGTGTATATATTTTCTATATTTATATATTAAAGGTATAATTCACCCAAAAGTAATGACCCTGCACTTGTTTCATATCTTTTAGATTGATGAATTTGTGCAAAAGACTTTCAAAGCTGGTTGTGGCCTAAGACTTTTGCATAGTACCGTATAATAATACTGTTTTTTTATTGCTTTTCTCATTGCCAAAAGTGTGTGTTAATTGGTTTAGTTCCTTAAAATAAAAATCAAATAGTACTAAGGCATAACCGATTGAATACTCTTCAGGTCAGGCATGTAGGCATAATTATTGAATATAATTGAGTTCTACTGTTCAGATACCAGACTTGCTGTAATGTTACATGTCGTTTCAGAATGATGAGGCACTTCGCAAATCTCCACTGCATGTTCTCTTCACTTCATTATTAAGTAACAATTTATTTTTGTTTAAACACAGATAAATGCCTACAGTGCACACTTCAGGTACCACTTGGCCTTGCAATGTCAAAAGCCAGGTAACTATGATGCCATAAATGGCTGAACATACGAAGAGTTTACGAAGAGGGACTCTGTTTTGTCCACTGCTTCGGCTTGTGTTCATGCTGGTGTGTTCAGGTCTCACTTCTGTGTTTGCGCAATTGAATGAGTACAATGCACAGCAGAAATGCCACTTATTTACTTATTAGTTCCACTTTCGCTTTCATCTGAAAACTAAACATTCATGCGTCCCTAACTTTAGCGCTGACTCCTCTTAATTTGCAAGGAATCATTTACATTCATAAAATACATTAATAAAATGCTTTAATGAATACTTTCTAAAAATTCTATGAGAAATATACTTCAGGAGCCAGTGCTGAAAAAAAATGCACAAATAAATCTATGAAATACAAATGGTTTTGTTCTCTCGTATGTGTTTCTGTAGGCTGGATTCATGCCGTCTACACTCCAGAGGACACCCTGGTGTTTGGCGGGAATATTCTCCACAGTTTTAACATTCCCATGCAGCTCACTGTCTACGAAATTGAGAACAGAACAAAGGTAAAGCATTTATTTTAAGTCGGCATGAAATGGAAGTTGCAACAAAAAGTTTTCTCTTACTGTGATATATATCCGACTGGTAACGTTTAACTTCTCATTCAAGAATTAATTCATTTTCTGTTGTGTGTTGTTTTTAAAAAGGGCCTGTTCACACATTATTTCTTCATAGCAATTTACTGCACAGCAAAAAATGCTTTTTGTTGTGTTTCTAGTCCAAAAATCTATAAGTACTTAAAGGACTTCAGCAGCTCGTTTCAGCAGGGTGTTTTCACACCTCTACTTTGGAAAAAGTCAGAAAAGTGGGCGTGTCCAGCTCTGTTTAGGGGGGAGTGTCGGAGGAACTAAAGTAGGAGGTTGTGGGAGTGTCTATTTGGGCAGGCGCGAGTTTCAGAGTCAAAATACACACACACAGGAGAAAGTAATGGTGTTTAACCTACATGGACATCTGTAGTCGAATTATTTGCCAAATTATTAAATGTTGGACTTTAACTGCAGTTTGGCTCTTTCATTCAGGGAATTCATTCATGCCCCTCGAGACAAACGAGATATTTGATTTGAGGAACTGCTCTAAGCGTGTATTTTTCATGCAATGTTTGATACCGCACGGCGAATGAGAGAAAAAAAACCTCCGCATTTCCCGGAAACTTAGATGCACACGGCAGGTAGTGTCAGAAAGCCGCGTGTGTTATTCCGGTCACAAAATGCGGTAAAAACCCTACACGAGGTTAAAGTTTGGTTGTGGTGCTAACATGTTTACACTCGGTGCAATAGTTAACTTAGTTTGATATGAACAAACTGAATAAACAAAGAGCACTGATCGCTCACTTACCAAATCTGTAGAGACAGGACAATCACCAGCAACTAGAGCCGCGTCTTTATGAAGAGAAGACTACAAGCGAATCCGGATCTCAGCGTTTGCAGATGAGAACAGCTCTCAGGTAAACAATGTTCCTCCTTAGACACGTAAGTTATTGTTGTCAAGCGTCGCGTACACTGTTAATCCACACGTGAGTCTGAACTCTTACAGAGAGAAAATGAAAACAAAACTGAACTGCAGCAAACTATAAAAGCAACACTTCATGCTTGTTTTGCCAACACAACGTGGCGTCTCTGTCGTGTAAACACTCTGACAGTAATGAATATTAATGAAGTTGCACAATAGAGCGCGCTGATTGGTTTGAACCAAGCTTTACTCATGCATTAATGCATCACACTGTAAGACGTAATAAGACTCACTCTGGCACAGACGTCCAGTCTGCACGCTGGAATGCACACTATTATGTCATGACCGTGACGCAGCTTCAAAAATTAGTTTCAAACCGGAAGTACGAATTTACTTGAAATATTGCAAAAACAACCAATTTACACTTTTTAGTGAAATATAGGTGTCCTAATAGTGTTTTTAGCAGAGTGGGACACATACGACTGTCAACAGCTCAAAAAATGTGTTTTGGTGTTTCGTGACCCTTTAAATCAAGATACATTTTCAAGATGAGCAAAAATATGATCTGGTTTTCAGAAATAAGAAATCAGAATTATGTGAGGTTTTACTTAAAGGTGCTGTATGTACTGTAAGTTTGACACCCAGTGGTTGAACTAGGTATTGCAATCCTGGTTCAAAACACACACAAGCGCAGGTTGCCAGATTGATGACACCAACAGGAGTGTGCTTGACTATTGAGCCTAAAGGCTGGTTTAAACCGAATAAAAGCAACAGCAAGTGAAAAAAGGAATATTTTCCATATTAAAATGAGTTTTTGTCCTAGCCAACACCAGAAATTAAGATTTTAAAAACAACTTTTATTTCATCATGTGCTTTATTCAGTGTTAAATGCTGATAATGTCAGTTTGAATGCCCTTTCACGTGACATTTATTGCCATACTACTGAAAGCAGCAGCAGATAGTTCACCTCAGATCTGGAAAATAAAAGAAACAGTTTGAAATTGAACTCTAGAACTGTGTCTCAGTGCAAACCAACACATATCAGTGATTCTGCATCTACATTTAATAATGTTAGAGAGGTTTTTATATGTATTAATTTGATTATAAATGTTACCATTTCGCTGGAGTGCAGTGAGTGCACTATTCTGCACTTCTGAATGGCTGAATTTACATTTCTGTTGTGTTTCGTCTGGTGCAAACAATCAAACTGCTTATCATTGCAAATCTCATGTAGCGTGTTGTTAGGACACGGGTTACAATGTAACCTGCTCAGCTAATGTTTACGTTCATAATATTTATATTATTTGCTATTAATAATCACCTCATGTGGAACTCTGAATCTGCTTCTCATTTTGGAGTCTGCTACTGTCCACCGGAGGTTGCATCTTGGTCGCAGAGGCATACTTTGAGAGCCTTTATGACTGAATTAATGAAATATGCTGTTTTCCACCAAGCCAACCCAGGGTGCTAAAATAAAATTGGCTAAACTGGCATTGGGCGGGTTGAATGACCAAAACAAAGTCAGACGTTCCTGCACCTAATGCAAATTTTCTAAGCAGAATATCTGACTTCAGCATTGTTTTTCAGATAAACAAGAATGTTCACTGAGCACGTTTCTGAAACATCTGCAAACATATGGTATTTTTATGCTTTAGAAGAGTTAGAAACTTACATACAGCACCTTTAAAACAAGATGAATAATCTGCCAATGGGGTAAGTAAAATAATCTTGTTTCGAAGCAAAAACAAGATTATTTAGTTCACCCCATCGGTAGATTATGTAGCATGTTTTAAGGAAAAACTTGCTTTAACCAGTTAAACTCTGCTGCTATTTGGGGATTTCCGCCTGGATTTTGCCTACCCAAATTTAAAAGCTTCCCAAATCCACATGCAGAGGTGTAAATGCAAAAATTTGGTATAATTTTAAAGAAAACCCCTCGCATTTTCATAAAACACTATTGAAAGTGTTTAAAATAACTGTATATGTCGTCTGTGTCATAATAAACACCTAAAAAAAGAGGCGCTTTTTGTATTTGTTTTTTTATTAACTTAAATTTGAAAGTGTACCTTTTAGGTTCTGTGTGCTCTAGCGTGCTGTAATTAGTGATGGTGGTTCCTGCACATGTCTGTAATCATAGGAATAAAGATAAATGTCTCTACCATAATCTATGCAAAAGTTATTGTATTCCTACTGATGAGAGGTGCTATACAAGCCACAGGAAGCGATCATTGTTTACATATTTCACTATTCTTTTGTTTGCTCAAACATAATTCACTGTATTTGGTCCACGTCAGACATATAAAAGGATTACTTATGCACATCACCTCAAAAACAGAGGAGAATGGCCCTGAAGCGCACAGCATAAGGTAACAGATGACAGCTGTCTGTGCTATCTGGGGCTGCTTATTGATCATAAATGTATTGTTTTCACTTCTGCGCCATGGAAACACCACAATTCATTCAACAACTGTTTGGCATATGAATATAATTCAGTAAAAAGAATACTAGAACTGTATGAGCACCGGCAAGAGCTTTCATTTGAGCTATAACTTGTACATGTGTCATATTTAAAAATATGAAAATGAACCAATGTGAAATACCCAGCTCAGGTATCCAAAATACTCTGTAATTAAGTGTAAATAACTTTTATACTGTAGAATAAAAACCAAAGTGATGCATATGTGCATAAAATATAGATTCTACACTTTCAAACGACACCACTTACGGGGGTCTGGTGCAACGCTAGCCCTTTAAATCTGAAAGTGAAAGTCGATGACGTCACGGACCCGGTACCGGGTCTGCAGAGTTTAAGTGGATTGACTCATTATTTCTGTAAACAAGACAATATTTTTTGCTCGTCTAGAAAATGCTTCTTGATTTATTAATTTTTAGATATTTGGATACAAAACAAAAGCTTTAAGTACACTGTAAAACCCAAAAAAGTTAAGGTAACTCAAACCATTTAAAGAAAACGATTGCAACAAACCATTTAAGTTCAAAAACGAATCATATTGAGTACTGTGAACTTAATCCATTTGAGTAAATGAAGCAATTTGAGCACAGTAAAACCCAATAAATGAAGAGATCTCAAACCAACTGAGTACTGTAAAGCCCAATAAGTTAAGGCAACTCAAACCATTTGAGGAAACCGATTGCTACAAACCATTTGAGTTAAACTAATCTATATGAGTACTGTAAACTTACTCCATTTAAGTTGAAGTAATGAGGCATTTAATTAACTCATTACCTTCAACACTGAGTTCAAAACTCTTTTCAAATGAGTAGTTAACTTTCAGTCAGTTTTGAGTTAACTTCACTCATTTCAATTGATAAAGTTGTCTGTTGGGTTTTACAGTGTAAGAAAAGCATTTGTTTGTTTGTCTGAAAGTTTGTATGTGTGAAAGGGGACAATAACGCACATTTAATACTTTCACTTTATAACATTTACATGCACACCGACATTTAAATTATTGCAGACTTTTTATAATCAGACTAATGAAGCTAAATTATGAACTATACTACAGACAGTTTAATTTCAGATCAATATCCTCTTGCTTGTGATTGGCTTTCAGTAAAAAGGCAGTTTTGGCATTCTGAATGGATAAAGCAGTTGTGGTTCTCAGTTTCTGCTAGCAGGATCTCTCCAGGACACTTTGATGCTGGGTTTAGAGCTATTTTTATATCTGCTAGACAGAGCAGGCAGAGAAGAAGACAGATCGTGGCTCTGGCGCTGTTGTTTCAGCCGCTGCATTATTGCAGAGCTCTAAATTTAGCGCTGGCTGAAGGAGGTTTGAGGGAATGAGAGCACGAGCCTTCATAACTCTGAGAATGTGAGTTTTCCTCCCTGGAGACGAGCAGGAATGGAAAGAGATCTGCATGAGAAGCATCTTAGCCATGCTGTCGTTTTTCCTGGTACTGCGAGAACCATGTATTAGGAAGCAATGTACATTAGTTACTAGGGCTGCAAGACTTCTCACAGTTTGGTTTTTGGTATACAAGTTTTTGGTATGGTTCTGTATATGATGATGTTCATTAAAAAAGCACTGTCAAATAAAAATAACTCGAAATTGAATACGATATATCAAAGGTGACACTAAAATAAACAGCACTTGTTTCAGCGCATGGACGTGCAGTTTAACATACACACCAGTTCAGAGTAATTAACATTGAAGTTGCTGTTAATGTTAAAGTTGCTAATGTTAAGAAACCCCAACCTTGTTTATATGGCTGTAAACTTAAACTCTACATTCATATGTATACATATATAACTAGTAAGTAAGTAATGTGTATTTATATAGCACATTTATCATGTTTGCCCATACACTAAAAGTGCTTCACAATCATGAGGGGTGGTTCTCCCCACTCCACCACCAGTGTGCAACATCCACTTGGATGATATTACGGCAGCCACAGGACAACAGCACCAGTGCGCTCACCACACACTAGCTATTGGTGGATGGAGAGACTGTGATAGAGGCAATTTGGTGAATGGGGATGATTGGGAGGCCATGATGGGTAAAGGAAGGTGGAGGAAATTTGGCCAGGACACCGGGGTTACCCCCCTACTCTTTACCAGAAGTGCCATGGGATTTTTAATGACCTTAGAAAGTCAGAACTGGGTTTAACATATCATCTGAAAGATGGCGCTCACTGACAGTATAGTTTCCCCTTCACTATACTGGGTCATTAGGACTCACACAGACCTCAGGGTGAGTGCCCCCTGCTGGCCTCAGTGACAAGACTTACTGTTTTAATTAAATCATTAACAATCAAGGCATGATCATATTTTATTGTGGTAAAATAAGTGTAACCTAGAGGCCTTTGCCTTTCATATATACCACTTCTTATACTAAATGATCAACTAGAAGTAAAGTTATTATTTGTTGTTCCTAAAACTTAGGCCCCGTTTATACTGCCAGTTAAAAGTGTCCCAACTCCGATTTTTTGCTCATTTGTGACACAGATCAGGGGCCTCATGTATCAAAGCTGCGTACGCACAAAAAATTTCAGAATCGCTCACGTTTGGATTTATTAACGATGAACTGAACGTGGGAATGTGCGCAGCTCCACGCCAGCTTCTTGGCAGGCGTACGCACATTTTTTTGTGCGTGTCTGTTTTATTTCCATTGGCGACTCCTAGAGGCAGTTGTGTTAAATTGCTCTCTACAAAGTGTCTGAGCCTTGCAATGGCAGCTGTATGAGACGGGTTCATCTAGCAGGTATATAAGGTTTCCATATCATACAGTTGACCAGCCAAACATTAAAGCACAATTTGCAGCGGTCGCCTGTTTTCCAATGTAATCTGAGCAATCTACTGCACGCACATTGCTATAAAGACACTATCTGAAGATGAATTTGCATGCGTGAATCAGAAACATTTCCATTCAATAAATGTGCAAATAAAATATGATGCACAAACTTAATGATTCCTACTTGTCTTTCTCGTGATAAATAGTGGGCAAAATCTGATATGTAGTGGGGGAAAAAAGAAGAAAGAGTAACTCAAGACGCTGGTTTCGAACCGAGTTCATGCTCGAACGTGTCAAAACATGTTGACCTGCGTTTTACGAGCTGCGCCACTGAGACTGTTAAAAGTGATGTTCAAACTCAACTGTGTTAACCGCATCAGCTAAACTCTCCCACTCTATTTTTTTCTTTTGTTGTTAATTCCGGAGGACAAACTTGCAAATAACACCGTTTTCCTCCGGTCTACCTCTGAAAGCAGCACCTCCAATTCACATTCTGTTCAAAGTTTCTCTTTTTGCTTGCTTTTGCCATTGCTTTTTCGTTGGGTTTTCCCATTAGCATAGTCATTAGCATATTCATACGGGGGAGGAGGCAGGGAGGGGTTTTGTGCTCGTGCATGTTGCTCTTAATTTTACGTACATTCAGATGTACAAAAGAAAATGCGTGAGATTCGGCGTACGCAGTGTTTCATACATCTGAATTTTTTTCTGCGTACGCACATTTACAGCTTTGTGCTTACGCAATGTTTTAGTAAGATTTCCACACAACTCTTCGTACATGAGGCCCCAGATCTGTTCTATGACCGTGTAAACACGAAAAAAAAAACACATGCATTCGGATATTCAGAGATCGGTTTCAGGCATATGTGGAAATAAATCAGATATAGATCGGATAATGGACAATGCGACTGTCATGTAAACAGGCAGATCGGATTTATTGAGGCATTTCGTTCTAAACATCACTAACCGTGGGTGCTTCTCCACGGTTCAATGACAGAAAGAAGAGCGTGTGTGGAGATGCCGATGCGGTAAACAACATCAGAGGAAACACAGAGGAGGAAATTGGTCAGTTGTTGCTCCCACCAGACCTGAGATCTCTCTCGTACTCACACATTCCTTTGAATGGTGGAAGACATCATAAAGCATATAAACCATAAGAGCAAGCTGCGATGACGGCCCCTTCCCACCTCAAAATAATTTTAAAGTTGGGCGAACTTCGTGCTGAAATTTTTGCTTTTTGTCGCTATTAATACACGCACTGCGGGCTACTTTATTCTCTCCAACACCAGCGCGCACACAGGCAAAGGCAACATCTTCAACTACACACACACATCAGGGCCATACCATTACATAAACTGTGTGGGGGTAAATCTGAAACCATTCACTGCTAATACTCATGCTAATACTACACTTCGCATATTTCGCAGAGCTAAAAAACAAGACAATTTCTTCCATCGTGGCTAGTGTGGCACAGGTGCTAGAACCCACCTTTCTGCATACGCAACATCCTAAATGGTATGGCAAGTGTAAACACATGAATTGGATATGGGTCACAATTACACAAACAACGTGTAAAGATACAGGCAAACAAATCAGATATAGGCAACAAATTGGAATTGGGCATCAAGACCTGGCAGTGTAAATGGGGCCTTAGATACGTCACACGACTTTTGTCAGGTAGTGTAGTACTCTATAGCAGTGGTCCCAACCTTTTTATTACCGCCGGACCGGTCAACGGTTGTTTGGGGGGAGGTTGGGGTGCGCTTGTGCATCCAGGTTAATCATGAACAACTCAGTGTACATGCGCTAGTTGCACTATCGCTGTCTGATTATGTTTCAATCAAGGTTTATATGCATCACATACATAACATCTGTGCCAAACATTTCAACTGATGAACATATTAACAATAATACAACCGTATAGCCGAATTTAATGTATGCATTGGCATGTTCCAGCCCTAATGAGTATGATTATGTGAAACTCCATATAGATACATATTGCAATGATTTCGGCTACTTACACATAACGTTATATGCACAATCCTTAAATGCTCTGCTGAGTTTGATCTCTATAATACCTGTTTTATAACTTTAAACTATCAACAACCACCACTGCGCTATATTCAAGCGGTCGTTCTTCCCGCTCCGTGGTGGATTTTGGAATAGTCCATTTCACGTGAGATGGCGGGGGTGAGTGGAAGAAACCAAGTCGCAGGGGGAATATATCTACAGAAAAAATTGATGATTTCTTATGTGGCCCGGTACCATTTGTTCCACGAACCGGTACCAGTCCTTGGCCCGGTGGTTGGGGACCACTGCTCTATAGGTTATAGTGGTGCATTGACATGTTGTATATTGATTTCAGGTGCACTCCAAATTCCGCTACCCGTTCTTCTATGAGATGTGCTGGTATGTGCTGGAGAGATACGTCAGCTGCTTGACCAAACGTTCGCATCTCAGCCTCGAGTTTCGCAATCACACTGGTGAGTCAGCAGCTATACGTAATTTGGCCTTTGGTGTATTGCGTTACGCTACTTTTGAATTACTTTTAAGTTAATTTCACCAAAACAATCACAGAAGTATGACTGCATTGTAATATTTTTCTGTTATGTGAATAATAAACTTAATTAAACTTTCAGTAACTCTTGTTTTTATTTGATCCTAATTAGCTGAACCAAAGCCAGTGACTGAGAGTCTCATGTCTGCTACTCGGCTGGACATGGAGGAGGACTCGTGTGGGACAGAGGGGACGATTCTGTCCTCTTTTTCCATCCCGCCCTGTCAGACATTTAAACCGTCGGCCAATGATTCAGAAGACAGCTCCAAATCCCTTCCTTCAGAGTGTCCCAAAACGCCGTCCGGCTCCCCGGGAATGGATCACTCGGGAAAATGGAGCCACCTGACAGAGTTTGAGCTGAACGGACTCAAGGCTTTAGTGGAGAAACTCGAATCTCTTCCGGAAAATAAGAAATGCGTCCCTGAGGGCATCGAGGATCCACAAGCACTGCTGGATGACGTCAAGGTCACTTTATACTACACACAGTTGAAGTCAGAAGTATTAGCCCTCCTGTATATTTCCCCCAATTCTTGTCGATTTGTTTCAACACATTTCTAAACATAATATTTTAATAACTCATTTCTAATCACTGGGTTATTTTATCTTTGCCATGATGACAGTAAATAATATTTGACTAGATATTTTTAAAAATACTAATATTCAGCTAAAAGTGACATTTAAAAACTTAACTAGGTTAATTAGGGTAAAGTTAGGGTAAGTAGGCAAGGCATTGTATTAAATTGGTTTGTTCTGTAGACAATCCAGACAAAATATTGCTTAAAGGTGCAGTAGGTGATCTGCCAAAATGCTAACCGGATAGCATATTAGCTTTGGACGGCAGGGAGGGACTGTGTTTCAAAGCCACGCCTCTTGAAATCACGAGCGCGCCCACCATGACACAACAGCAGACAACCCAGTTCATTTGCCAGTTAGAAATGTATGTAGTGGTTGGCCGGGCGGAGTGCAGGAATTTCACTTATTAATAAGCCACACTTACATGCTATTTCAGACTGAATATTTAGAGTAGCGGTAAACAATATCGGGAGCACGTCACAGGCTGTCATTGCTCAGAAATGACCCAATGTGAATATAAAGGCAACTTCAGCTCAGCAAGCAGGCTAGCGCTATTTACTGATACTTTGTTGTTAAACTGAATATAAATCTACATTATCGATGCTGTAAAAGCTCCCTTATGAAACTAAAAATAGTCACATCTAGCTTCCACCAAGAAGATTTCATGTGGATTTCAGTGGCTGAATAACACGTCTGTGCATAGAACCCATTCATAACACAATACACTCTACATCAGCTCTGCGTGACTACTATAGTTTTAAAACAGAACATTACCTGTCCAACAGAAATACTTCAGCCATGGTGTGGTGTCGTCCTTCCTCCAGCATGCAAAAGTAACTCCAATACTGATTCAGGAGTTTAAAAAGTTTTAATTCAGCATTTGATTTTGCCGCAACTGACAGTCTCGCGTGCACGTGACGCTCATCTAGGCGTGCACGCGCGGCAGGCATGCACACGCGAATGGCGGATATGGGTGACCAGAGATGCGCAAAAGCCCAAATCTGCATTAGTTGACTGACAGTTTGTTCCTTATCAGAATTATGAGAGATGTCGGTCCGACTTTATGTAATTGGATGAACATTTTTTATTTTTATGCCTTACCCAGAATAAAAAAATACATATACATACGTTTAGATCAGTAACTTTAATCATTACTATTAGACTGTGAAGAGACTTTCAACCAGCACAACAAAACATGCTTCTGAATCCTACTGCACCTTTAAGGTGGCTAATTAGAATGACCTTAAGATGCTTTTAAAAAAATAAATAAATAAAACAAATAGGACTTTCTCCACAAGAACACATATTATAGAAAATACTGTGAGAAATCAATGCTCTGTTAAACAATTTGGAAAATATTTGAAAAAGCAGAGCTAATAATCTTGACTTCAGCTGTATATTTTCTACTCTTTTGTTTTGCTCAGTGTCTTGGATTTATATCATCATTGTTATTATTGTTTTGAAATTAGCTTTTTGACTTTGACCGCGAGTAATATTGAGAATGCTTTATTTTAAGTAACCATTCACACCATTTACTACTGGCTTATGAGCTGCCTATTATTAAGATATTCACTGTATATCATGCTATAAAATCTAAAACTGGCAGATCTAGAGCACTGATAGACACTGTAAATAACCACAAGACACCTTGCTTGTAAAATAGCTGTTTGTATCCACATAAAGCCTAAAAGTAAGTCAGATGCATAGTTTGTATAGTTTGACCTACAGTAACCTTTAAAATAGTCAAAATAGGTCAGAATACACAAATTATTATCAATGAAACATTCATTCATTTTCCTTAGTCCTTTTATTTATCAGGGGTCGCCACAGCGGAATACGCCGCCAACTTATCCAGCATATGTTTTACACAGCGGCTGCCTCTCCAGCTGCAATCCAGTACTGGGAAACACCCATACACTCTCATTCACATACACTACGGCCAATTTAATTTATTCAATTCACCTATGGCGCATGTGTTTGGACTCTGGGGGAAACCGGAGCATCCGGAGGAAACCGGCACCAACACGGGGAGAACATGCAAACTCCACACAGAAATGCCAACTGGCCCTGCTGGGACTCAAACCAGCGACCTTCTTGCAGTGAGGCGACAGTGCTAACCACTGAGCCATCGTGCCTCCCCATAAACTAATAGGTAAAAAAATACATAACTACAGCTGGAGTTGTCCTGCATATTACTGTTGTTACACCAAGTCAATATTTGCTGCTTTTATAGGCCTGCAAAAAATTGTACAACCAAAAAAACTCTTTAAACTTCTAAATATAAGTCCTTGCACACCCGGAGGACGAGCGACATCGAGATTAGTTTTTATGGTGTATTTTACAGCATCGGCAAAACTCATCAGGGGCTTTTTGGAACTGGCCTATAAATATAGTTTTAGTTTTGATTTCTCTTTTTAAAAAAGATTTGTTCCCAGCCAGAATAAAAAAAGTATTGCAAATTCAGGAATTTTCTAAATTTAGTGTACTAAACTCACAAAATGCATTTTAATTTAGCTTCAAATAATCTTTTACCTATTAAAATGTCTGATCATTTTCACACAAAAACAAAAAACAAAAAAAAAATATATACACAGTGTATTATAATAATAATAATAATATATATTTTTAACTACTTAGGCCATACTCGTACTATGTACAAAAGTGGGTGCCAAAGCACCCTTGTCCCCCCTCCCGTCTCCCCAGATGGCCGGCACTCGCATTACATTCGGGCCTCGTCACGCTTACATCATCGATGCTGCGCTGTTCAGTAAGCGCTCTCGCTCAGCTCAGTGGAGATTTCTTTAGTTATATCGTTTAAGTCGTTTGATATGCGGTGACACGCAGTCAAATATTTTACCAAACAGTGCTTAGGGATGCGGTGACACGCAGTCAAATATTTCACCAAACAGATCAGCCACTATTGACGCTCATAAACAATCATAAAGTCCTCGTGCTGCAGGAATTAGGAGGTTTGCTAAAGGTGCAGCTGTCGTGCAGTGAGGGGTTTGCGTCTTTAATAAACTACGACAGTTTGTGTTCATTGAACAGTAAGAATAATTAAATAATCCATTTTAAACAGTCCCTTAAAAGTCACGTCTCGCTTTCAAGTTTTGGGCTTTCACTGTACCGCGCCAAAGCAACGGGGCACCACGCCCACAACGGGGATAACATGCAAACTCCACACAGAAATGCCAACTGACCCAGCCGGGGCTCGATTCAGTGACCTTCTTGCTGTGAGGCTACAGTGCTAACCACTGAGCCACCATGTCGCCAGATGTGACATAATGCATTACATTATCATATTAGGTCATGCCTAGTGTGTCAGGATCCTTAGACTTGTAGTTTCAGACCATATAATGCACAATACATGACCTACCAGATGAGTTCATTCTTTCATGTCTAAACTTTTGCTTCTAGACTTTGTTTTTAATTGTGTCTTTTGCTTTTTGAGCAGGTTGTCTTGAAGGAACATGCAGATGACAACCCCAAGCTGGCCATCAGCGGTTCCCCAATCGTTTGCTGGCCAAAGAAGACATTCAAGGTACAAAAAGTAAAGCGATTCAAAACATGAGAATGTAGCCAAAGCAGGATTCTTCACACTATTCATCTAATAAGCTCATTAGAATGTTTTGCATATTGCATTATTTGTGTTATAATATATAGTTGAAGTCAAATATATTTCAAATATTTCTAAATGATGTTTAACAGATTAGAAATGTGTTAAACAGAAATTGAGGGAAAATATACAGGCAGGCTAATAATTCAGACTTCAAGGTCTAATTTTCCTCCCAACTGATTTATGTGTTTACGCTTGATCTGTGATCAACAGTAGAGAATTGTTGCATAATTTCATCAAAAATATAAAGCTACATCTGTGTATTCATGGTAAAAAGCGAAGAGAAACTTTGCATTTAGTACTTCGCTGGAATGATGAATCAGACACAAGGGAAGTGTTGGCAATCCCCCAAAATTAGACCCGACCAATCCCACGCAAATGTAGACTCATTTTAGTTTACTTCCCTATTGATTGTGACACACGCGAGATTAGATGTTGGCTTTTGTACTCCCCCACTTCAACAGTCTGGACGACTAAAAGCCCAGCTGCTGAATTC